AGGTAAACCGCGTCTGCGCAAGCGGAATCGGCAACCCCGGTTAGCTCGCGGCCTTTATTCCCGGGTTTCCCAACTCCAAGGGATGTTGTGTATCGCCCAGGCGTTCAACAGATGTCGGTCAGCATACACGGATCTGGTGAACATTTACGTGGCAGAAACCGTCCAAATAGTATTTTGTAAGTTTTCTTCAATAGCAGCTGTGGTCCGAAGAGCTCACCTGCAGCGTGAACTTACGCTACTTGGACTCGAACGATTGGCTGTGCTTAAGAGGTAAACTCAACCGGACAGTTAGCCCCCCTGTCCTCCCGAGGATTACCTGGGCAGCCAGGCAGGCAGCCAGTTCAGCCGGTCAGCGGACTCTAAGGGTCCAAAAGGGGACTTGTCCACCGTTACTTCGGGACAAGCCCCGTATCAATACGTACTAGGTATGGCAATGCCAGAACGAGTACTCCGTATTAATAAGAGTCAAAAAGCCTCTAGTGATTGATTGTATCTGTTAACGGACCCCGCGGTTTGCATGCTGCGACGGCGTCTTGACGTATAACTGCCCTCATTAAGGGCTCTTGGCCGCAGAGAGGATGAAGACGGTCCTGTACGCGCTGTCAGCGGGGCACATGCGCGGCTCCGAGCTGTCCCGTTGAACGGCTGGCGGGCTCTACTCAGCCGCTATCTTGGTCTGCCAGTCTTGTTACGATACGTCACCGCCAACAACTGGGCTGAGCACCACCGCAACCTTGCAACTCGTCCCGTCCCTCCCTGGATACTTGACAACTTGGCGGTGCTCTCGCCCCCAGGCTTGTCTTGCCCGCAAGCATGGCTCCCCTCGCATGGCATTTGTTGTTCCTCCTTGCTGGACCGCACTAAGCACTCTGTTCGCAATTGCCCAGACGTAGCCGAGATCCCGATCAAAAAGAGGATCTGAGTGGCGCCCCATGACCACAACCGCAGTATATTATCGACCGACTGTTTCCTCCTATCGGTGCCAGTTCCTGAGTCTCACTCAGCCTCTTTTATTCTTCTTTCTATTCCTCTTGGAAAAATATATCCAGAACTTGCCATCATCCCCGGAGACGTGGTAAACCATATGTGCTTACTTACTCCCACACTATATTTTATGGCTCTTTCCCTTCACATGCCCATGTCGTTTGACTCCATCCAGTCATCCACCACACTACTACTCTCATCATCTGGACGAACCCAACACCGCTACCGCTGATAATAAGCACGCCGTCGACACGTCCAAACTGAGGAAACAACAACAACTGGACCCGGCAACGACGGCAACCGGCACGGCGGCTCTATCACATGGTTGTTTGAAACATTCAAACGAAACCCTGGGAAAAGAGTATAAAACAAAAGATACAAAAAAAAAAAAACCGTGCCCAATGCCTGCGTCCATCAGCTCCCGGGCCAGGTCCCTGTCCCTACTCTTTCATCATAACCAGGTGGACCCCGCAATAACACCGGCAGCCATGACGAAACCCAACCGCCACGAGCTCGACAACCTGCCAGTTCCTGCTGAGCAACCTTACACTGGCGGCGCCGCAGTCTCCTCTGCTACTGCTACTGCTGCTGCTGCTCATGCGCCTGGACCCCAAAAGTCCCCTCTTCTTCACTACCACGTTCCCTGCGCCGCCAACGTTATTACCCCGCCGGCCAGTCCCCCCGTGCCGCCAAGTTCGCTCCAAGAGGACGATTCCCACTCCAACTTTTCCGCGACCGCCGTGACTGGCACAGCTGCAGCAACCCGCCCCTCCAGTGACGACACATGCTCGCTGGCGCAGTCGCAAACCAGCACCGCGTACAGTTCGCGCAGGGAATACATGGACAGCCTGGTGCCGCCGTCGCACGACGAGTTTGAAAAGATTGCTGAAGTGCAGCGCGCCCGCGAAGAGGAATTCAAGAAGAACAAGTCCAAACTGCGTTCCATGCAGACCCAACACCTCCACGACCACTTCCACACTCCCCGGCACTCCCAGGACGGCCATAAAGACGCCGCCGCCGCCGCCGCCGCCGCCGCCGCCGCCGTCGGGGACGAGGCACAATCCCAACCACAGTCGCAGTCACAGCCGGGGGCTGGAGGGCGCGAGAGGAGTGACAGCGACGCCATTAGTAGGGCTGCGGCGCTGATCCAACGGAACTACCGCGGGTACCGCGTGCGGCGAGAGATGCAGGGCCTGAGCCTCGACCCCTCGACGAGATGGGTATCGGCCATCGACGAGCTGCAGTTCCGCGAGCTCAACCGCCCGCGCGCAAAGAGCTCCGCCAGCGCGGCAGGGTTGGCCGCCGGCAACAGCGACCAGCACAGCGTGCTCTCGAGGGACTCGGAGGGGGGCATGAGCCGCCCGGCGACGGCGCGGGAGAACTGGAAGAAGGCGGCGACCATCGCGCGGCGCGCGGGCCACGACGACCTCGAGTCCGACTCGGACTCGTCCGCATCGTCGTCGGACCCCGAGGAGACGCCCGAGCACCGGGATGAGAAGAGGAGGCGCCGCGACGAGGCCGTCGCGCGGCGGAAGAAGGACTCCAAGATGATGGGGCTGCAGTACTTCCTCGAGATGGTCGACCTCAAGCACCGGTACGGCAGCAACCTGCGCGTGTACCACGAGGAGTGGAAGAAGACGGACACGAACGAGAACTTCTTCTACTGGCTCGACCACGGCGGCGGACGCAACGTCGAGATGGAGGCGTGCCCGCGCGACCGCCTTGAGAGGGAGCAGGTGCGGTACCTGTCGCGCGAGGAGAGACAGTACTACCTGGTACAGGTGGACGACGAGGGGCGGCTGTGCTGGGCCAAGAACGGCGCGCGCATCGACACGACCGAGGCGTACAAGGACAGCATCCACGGCATTGTGCCCGCCGACGACCCGACGCCCGCCTGGTCGCAGAACAAGCTGCCACCGCCTCCCGACTCGGGCAACCACAACGACGACGGCAACGACGATGAAGACGACGACAGCCGGTCCGAGTCCTCGGTGGAGTCGGCGCTGGAGGCGGACCGCGCGGCCAAGTACGCGACGCCGGAGCTCGACGGCGCGACGGGGGTGCGCAAGGTGTCGCACATCTCGGCGGCGACCGTCTTCAACAAGCTGCTGCGCAAGTCGGTCAAGAAGAACACGTGGATCTTCGTGGCGGACACTAGCTTCCGGCTGTACGTGGGGATCAAGTCGTCGGGGGCGTTCCAGCACTCGAGCTTCCTGCAGGGCAGCCGCATCTCGTCGGCCGGGCTCATCAAGATCAAGGACGGGCGGCTGTCGAGCCTGTCGCCGCTGAGCGGGCACTACCGGCCGCCGGCGTCCAACTTCCGCGCCTTCGTGCGGAACCTCAAGGACGCCGGCGTCGACACGTCGCACGTGAGCATCTCCAAGTCGTACGCCGTGCTGGTCGGGCTCGAGGTGTACGTCAAGACGCGCCAGAAGGGCAAGCGGACGCTGGAGAGGGCCACACGCAAGAAGGACAAGATCGTGTCGCCCGAGGCGGCCCGCCGCCGCGAGGAGGCCGAGCGGGACAAGTCCGAGAGCGCGGCGCGGGAGCGCGAGGTGCTCGAGAGGGAGGCCGAGGAGCGCGAGGAGATCGAGCGGCGGCCCGGCTCATGCGGAAACTGAACCTCGCGCCGCAGGTGCCGGCGGGCCAGAGGGGGTCCGAGGGGGGGCCGGCGTTGGAGCCGCTGGCGGAGGAGAGGACGCCGGAGACGGCGGCCACCAGCGGGGGACCCGGGGCTTAGACAATCCCAAGGTGTTGCCGATGAGTGGTGGTTTTTTTTTTTTTTTTGGTTTTTTTTTTTACTGCGACAGTTTGTTATACCCCCTTCTTCCTTTCCACCTTTCCCCCGCTTTGGACGTTTTTATTTTACTTATTAACACTGCACTCGCTGGGCCGGCTGGCTGGCAGGGTTTCATCACTTTTTATTCTTATTATTTGTAAACAGAAGCCTTCGTCCCGAGCGTGTAGAAACGGGGGGGATAAAAGGTAAATTGCAATGTCTAATGAAATGCTCAAGAGAAGACGGTGGCGATATGAACCACCCCCTTTCCCCCTTCCCCAAGCAAGTCTCGTGCCCCCCCTGGCGGTCCTATTTGTCGGGCCCTGTCGTGTCCTGCCCGCGTTGCTGCTGTCTACGAAAGGTCAGTTCGCGCTCTCGGGCCTGCGTCTTGTAGAGCATGGCACCTCCCGGGAAAAGAAAGTCAGCTAGGAGGGGGTTCCTAGGACGTTTGTGATGTCGTAGCTGGCATCGCGAGAAGCGCCACCATTCGGCACCGCAAGGACAGAACCGGAGGTGGCTTCCTGTCCGATATCGGGCCCTCCACGGCGGTGACAGAAACGGCTTGCCTCCGTCGGGAGGACGAGGATAGACGCACATGGACGCAATCAGGACGGGTGATGCCCTCCCCTAAAGGTAGGGGGCTATGAACTATATATGCCATGGGTGCTGATATTCCATTGAGAGATAGCAACGTGATTCACTGTTTACCTTGGTGCCTGGGCGCCTTTCAGCGCGAGTTCTTCATCTTAGGCCACCAGACTATGCAGGTCCCATCGGGAACAACCTTCGTTACCTCAAGGGACCCGGGCTCATCGCAGGTACACCATGAGAAGACGGTACCATTGAACTGCGCGCCAGTCTACTCCAAAAAGGGGAAGAAAAGGAGACGCCCGAGTATCTGCAGCTCCGAGTTCGAGATGCATACACACAATTCCAGGTTTGCATGCCGCATTTCTCCCGACTTCAGCAAGGAAAGGATAGCAAGCCGACGAGGACGGGTTTTGGGGTGCGTGAACTAGTACATCGAGACGTCGACGGGACAGCAGGCAACCTGGATGACAACGCGGCCGGGATAGTATTCGGAAGCTCCTGGTGGCGACGAAGCAGTGGCCGTTGTCATGGTTTCGTATGGAGACGGCGTGGTCGAAGGGGTTGTCGAGGCCCTGGCGGCGCTTGTTGAAGACGCGCTGAGAGAGGGTGCGAGGTTGAAGAAGTGGCGTCTCGAAGCGTGCTGGTCCAAGGTACGGTGGGACGTGGGTCAAGGACGCAGGGGTCGAGGAGGATGTCGAGGTTGCCCGATCGGCAGGTACCAAGACAGAGCCGGAGACTTGGGTTGCCGACATCTCAAGCGAAGAAGCCCGGGTCGTCGCCTCCGGCAGCAACATTTCCCGTGACAGTCATGGTGTTCTCTCACTGGTGCGCAGCTTCAAGCAATGCAGAACGCGCTGCCGAGCATCGCTCCCATGTTGTAGTTGGGGCTTTAGTCTCGTGGGCTTGGCTGGTCCGAGACTCACCACTTTGACCAACTTGACGTTGGAGTAAAGTTGACTCAGGGTCGTCTGGCATGCCGTCTGCAATCCTTGGACTATCTGACGATACGTTTTGACCGGGGGCCCTGTACCCAATCTGAACTTCTGACCGTCTCTATATTGTAGTTTGCTGGATGAATCCTCTGATCTTAGGACGACCGTTGCCACCGTGATTCTTCACCGTTACCGTAAATTCCACTCTTTGCTGCCCCTCTTCCAAGTCTCTCTTGTATGGCGCGAGCTCCCACTGAACGGCCTTGTGTGAATCGTCCCGGGGCGAGAGGCTGTGATTGCGCACTCGTGTAATGTCTGTACGAAGGCGACGGCAACCCACGGGTGTGATGTGTGATCCAATATGCTAACCCAGCCAGTGGCCCCGGAATTGTAAGCCTCCATACAAGGGTCTAGTAGGTGTTACGAGAGTTCACAGTCGCACACTCGTCAGGATCGAACCGCCGGCTACGAAGATACGAGAGGATTCGGCTCTCCTGGCGAATCATCCCAGTACAGCTGGGATCGTTGCCTACCAGGAGCGCTCTCGTCATCCCGTTTTGCTCCAATATTCGTCACTCATGTCCCAAACAACTTCCCTTTCCGAGGAGTCTCTGCAGCTGACAGCACTGCGAGAGAACACCCACGGACGTACACTGAGAAGTCAATGAAGAAGTTGGGGGGAAAAAAACCCCCCAGGCTCCGGATTCGTCACCGTAGGTGGCAATAGAGATGCCCATGTCGAGAAACCAAAGCCAGCTGCCGGCCAAGAATTGTCTGGCAAATCTCAATCTTCTTTTTGGCTTGTAGTCAGTCGCATCGGGTTTAGGTGCTGTTCGGGGGACCCGACAGATATCAACCGTGTCAATGTCCGCCTCAAGTTGTGTGATTAGCAAGGATCGAAACCAAGCAGTCAGTCGACTTGCTTGGGCTGTCGTCTCGCCGCCAGGCACCGGCTGATCAAACCGCAAGCCCGACGGTTGCGGATGTGCGATGTGTACCAGGGTGGCAGTGGTCAAGTTGGTTTCGAGCGTCAGAATACTCAACGTACCAATCCGGTTCAAGAAAGGGACAGAAGAAACGCGGCGGGAGGACGGTGATAGACGGCGAGTTGCGCCCCAGAGTCATCAACTTCATGTCGTTGAGCCCGCCGGCTTTCTGGTCGCGCCCCTGGCGGGGAAAAGGTACACTCGGGACGCGACGCTTCAAGGGACGACATGACTCCCAAAGGGGATTAACCCCCTATACAGATTCCATGCCAGCTTGGCGGTGTGCTATAATAGTCGAGGCTAGCTGTTGTTGAGTTCCGCTCCGTTAATGCGTTGACATGGACGGCACTGGATTCAGGGGGCGGCAGCGTCGGCAGCTGGCCATGTAGGACGACGCCTCCTGCTTCGTTTGTCTTGGGAGGGAAGAAAGGGAGGAAAGACGAGGTACATGATATCCCACCAACGTTAGCCGAAACTGGATGTACCACGGCGCGCACATACCCATTCCCCCCGGCAGGCAGCGCAACTAAGTCACTGCCCACCTCGCAGCAGCCACTGTTTTCAGCAAAGGCAGGCATTCCCCGTGGGCGGATGCAAACACTGGTCAGGCACCTTGCTGACCAGGAGAGTGAAAGACGCGACCAGTAAGGCACAGTGCATCTGGTCCTTCAGTGGCCTGGACAGAGAGAACACGAGCTGACGGTGGCGCCTTCCCCCCCCCCAAAATGCCGCCAGAAGGCCACTTCCCGCATCGCATCAACGACGACGACACCGTGACAGACACTGCGACCGAGAACAAGACGGCGGAGACTGCGAGGGGGGCAAAAAAAAATAAAAAATCCTCAATCGACACCATCAATCGCCCTCGCTACGATCCGACGGGACAACAATGAATGGCTATTCAATCTTCGCCAATGGCCTCCGTCACGCGCTCCACCAGGAGGGCGACGAACACTGAAGGCCTCGTCCAGCAGCAGCTTCACCCGGTGCCCATCCCACGCCCCCATCACCATCCCGTCCAGGCCTTCGCTACCAACACGAACACGGCGACGCGCGCCGCCAATAGCCCCCAAAACGTCAACACCTACCATCATTCCATACCCGGTCGCACCAAGCGCCAGCTCGACTCGCCCGACAACCTCGTCGATTTCAATCACCAGAAACCCAAGCGACCGAGGACCAGCATCGAGATCCTCATTAGGCCTGCCCCGTCGCCCGCGAGACCTGCCGACGCCAACGCGACCACCCCCAACGTCACCGCGACTCCGCAACCGACCACCACGACAACGCCTCGACCGCCCGGCCCCCTAACAAAGACTACGCCCAAATCAGCACCCCAACACGTCGCGACAGTGCATCCCCCCAATCCCACCCCGCTTCCCGCCAGCAACGATGCTTCTCACTTGACCAAACACCAAGAAAAGGTCATCAACGGTATTAAACACGAGCTGGACCGCCTGCAGCCCCGCCAGGTAGATACCCACACAAAGGAGGGGGGTCGCAAACTACGATCCCAGGAGGCCACTCGCTTCAAGAGCGAACTGTCGGCCTACTTCTCCGAGTACGATGAGGTCATTGGGAATGAGCCCAAGGAACAGCGTATGTGCTGCCCTCTCCTTCTCCTTCTCCTTTTTTTCTTTTCTTTTTTCTTTTGCTTTCTTGCTGGTCTCGCCCGCAACCTCGCCTCGTTCGCTTGCTGACACCTTTCCTTTCAGAACTCTTCACTATAGATACCCCGATAGTCATTTTTGACTCGAACCCCATACGCCACCAGTCAGTCGCCTGGCATCGACATCTGGGCACCTCCGCAGAATCCAAAGCCATACATGATGGCCCAGCAAGTTTGCCAGAGGGGCACCAGGTGCCAGTGCGTGGCTACGGCGATGCTTTGTTTGACGAGCTCGTCGATGCCCAGCGCATAGATTTTGATTTCCTGGGCATCTCCCATAAAAGAGAACCCGTCGAGGATCCTCTCCCCGATGCAACCTTTGTTTCAGCCCACAAGAGGGCGGAAAGACTGGAAAAGTCCATCCGCAACACGGAAAGGGGCCGGGCCCAGCATGAAAAGGACCAGATTGCCCGCCTGCTCGACGGCCTTCAAGGCCACGACTGGTTGCGAGTCATGGGTGTCAGTGGTGTGACGGAGACGAGGAAGAAGCAGTTCGAGCCGGCGCGGCAGCATTTTGTCAAAGGCTGTCAGGCGATTCTCGACAAGTTCCGTCAGTGGAGCCTGGAAGAAAAACGTCGCAAGGCCGAGAAAGACCGCGCTGTGGCCGAGAAGGCAGAGGCGGAAGACTCATCCGAGGACCGGTCACCTATGGAGTCCGCAAGCGGCGAGGAAGCTGCTCAGGAAGATGGGCGTAGTGGCGATATCAGTGACGGGGACCCTCCGGGCTCTGATGATGATGACGACGACGACGACGACGACGGTGACAGTGACGACGATGGCGACTCAGTGACCCAACAGCTTCGCGAAGAAGCCAAAGCAAAGTCGGGCGCGTCGAGGAACAGCAGGAAGCGCCTGCGAGTCACACCACAACCTCGGCCCCCGCCAAAGCCTGAACCCCCAAGGGAGTTCAAGTCGTTCTTCAAGAAGAGGTACGAAAGGGACGCCGCCTTGCATCGGCACAGGCGTACCGGCCGCAAGGTGGTGGCGTGGGGACACCCTGTACCAGAGATGCCCGAGGCGGATTTCAATCTTCCTGAAGAGTTTCGCGACGAGGAGACGCTGAGAGTGCATGCGAGGAAGAAGCGTCGTGATCGCCGAGGTCGGCACTGAGGAGTTTTGCTCAACTACCGGCTATGTGTTTGAGATACCTGGATTGTCCTGCGGCGGCATCTTGCACTGCATCGGCTTGGCGTGATGCTGTTATTTGTACCATTATCATATGTAGACTGCTGGGTGGCATGGCTAAAGAACAAGCGTTTGATTTTGTTCCAACTAAGAAAACGAAACTCATCAACGGCATGAGGCTGGCTGATGTAGTCCTGGAAGTTGTGCCAATCAGTGTAGGTGGGACGGGCTTTGCCGAGAAACGTCAATCTGGAGTCGTCGTCAGTCCTTCAAAGTGCGGTTCGGTGCATGATAACGGTTAGCTTGGGCATGGGAAGGAGCTTTGTGAGCTCAACCAAGAGTCGCGCCTTCCTTGCTGGTGAATTCCGTTGGCTTACGTAACATGGGTCCAACCAGACCCGCCCAACAGGCAGGCGCCGCAAGAGCCAAGGTGGGCTCGGGCAGCTCCATCTCCAGTCGCGGGCGAACGAGCCGTGGGACGCGCTGACCTTGGGAGGCCTGAACCGTACCAGCTGCTGTCGACCCTCAGTTTTTGTGTTTGGTCGCAGCAGAAACTTCGCTCGGCTTCGCACCACTCACCTCGTCGCCAGTCGGAGAAAAGACATATTTTTAATATTTTGAGAAGCTGCCTATCGGTCTTTTCCCCCGAGCACAAACAATCCCGACCGGCGCCTTCCACGACCGAATCCCAGCCTCGCGACCATCGACTACGACAGGATGGTTGAGACCCTTGACGAATCCCGCACCTGAGAAACTCGCGCCGGCGCACCTTCCTCGATCGTACCCGCCGACCTCACACTCGCCGAAAAGGCCTTGAAAGACTCGAGCGACTCTGTCTTGTCGCTTGACGTCGGTCCGCGACGCAACCCTCCCGAGCGCAAACTAAGCAAACATGAGCGCCATCGAGGCCGCTGCGGCGGCGGCCGCCGCTGTCGACGAAGTCATCGCCAGTGATTCCGAGGATGACCTACCTCCTCTGAAAGATGAGCCGCCCTACCCTTACTTTGTCCTCAAGCAAGATGTCGAGATCGAGGTGAACTTCCGATCGAAGCGGATCCAAGGGAAGTCCCATATCACGTTTGGCTTGGTGTCCGGCGCCCTCTCCCAGCTCGACGAGCTCGCCATTGATGCGCGGCAATCCGAAATCGATGTCAACAACATCACCATCATCGCCCTAAAAGATCAGATACCCGTCGGCCCGACGAAACAAGTTTCAGCCACGTACACGGATCCGTATAAGCTACTGGATTACCCCGAATACTACAACTGGAACGCTTCACATCACGACCTACGAAAGATCCGGATGCGCCCTCTCATGCACACCCGACGGAACGACGTGCCCGCCGAGAATAGAGAACTCGTTGGCTGTACGCCCGTCGACGGCGCTTTACGGGTCAATCTCCGAGAAGCGAAGAAGAGCAAGGACACCAAGGAAGTCAAGGAAGAACCGGCGGCATCAGGAGCAGGTGTGGCCAAACGACCGCTGCTCAAGATACGTGTCTCGAGCGTTCTGCCGAATGAAGCCGTAGAAAGCGAGCTGGCGGGCTCACGAGAGTTCCGAGTCACAATACCCTTCAAGACTAAACTTGTTAGGGATGGTTTCCAGTTCGTTGGTGTCGATCCTGGCGACCTCAGATATCCACACGCCTTTACCCGGCATTCGATCGAACCGGGGACGGCGTCGTGCATCTTCCCGTGCATCGACGACCCTGGCCAACTCCCGACCTGGACGATGGCTGTCAAGGTTCCTCGAACGCTAGGCGATGCGCTCTGGCAGCCTTTGGCCACGCAAAGAGCAAACGGCAACGCAAACAATCAGCGGGACCGCGGGCTCGCAAATCAGTCCAGGGCCGACAGAGACTTCGCCCTGACCGAGGAAGACAAGCTCCTGGAGATGACGGTGGTGTGCTCTGGGAGCCTCTCGGACGAGATTGTGGACCCGGAAGACGAACGGAAGAAAATTATGACCTTTGACCTCGACAAGCGGGTCGCAGTCCAGAAGATCGGCTTCGCAGTCGGTCCTTTTGAGCATGTTGACCTCTTCTCGGACTTCCGCACGGAAGAGAACGACGAGAAACTAGGCGGAAGCGCTCTCAAGATTCATGGTTACTGCCTCCCGGGAAGAGCCGCCGAGGTCCAGAACACCTGCGCGGCGCTAGCTGCCGCCGCCGACTTCTTCACACTCACGTTTGCCCGGTTCCCCTTTGAAAGCTACAAGCTGTGCTTCCTCGACGACATGGCCGAAGATACCGTGGCTTTGCAATCGCTCTCCTTCGTCAGCACTCGTCTGTTGTTCCCCGAGGACGTGATTGACCCGGAAGTCGACGTCACAAGGCAGCTGGTGTACAGCTTGGCGTCGCAATGGAGCGGAATCAACCTTTTCCCCAACACTAGGAGAGATCTCTGGGTCGTTATCGGCATTGCTTACTACATGACTGATCTCTTCTTGAAAAAGCTGTGTGGCAACAACGACTACAGGTTCCGCATGAAGACAATGTCCGATAAGCTGGTGACGGTGGATATCAAGCGGCCTTCACTGCACGAACTCGGTCACATCCTGCACCTCGGAGATTTCGAAATGGAATTCATGGCACTCAAGGCGCCTCTGGTGCTCTTCATTTTGGATAAGCGCCTGATGAAGGCACCTGCCCAGACCAATCTCACCCGCATCATCTCGCGAATCCTTTATAAGGCAAACATTGGGGAGAAACAGAGCGAGTGGATCATCAACACAGAGTCCTTCCAGAGGGTCTGTGAAAAGAACGCTAGAAATAAGCTTGAGGCGTTCTGGGCTCAGTGGGTATATGGTTCTGGGTGCCCGAGGTTCGATGTTTTCCAGCGGTTTAATAAGAAGCGACTGTGCGTTGAGATGACGATTCGGCAAGTCCAGGACAAGGCTCTGAGCGAGGCGGAAGTTCTGAAAAAGACCGAATTCCTCCGCGCGATCAAAGAGAAGGCCAACGGCGTCCATGTCGATGCAGCGATGGGTCTCTTTACAGGGCCCATGACGATCAGAATCCACGAAGCCGACGGCACGCCCTACGAACACATAGTAGAAATTCGCGAGGACGCTGCCAAGGCGGCCAAGTTCGAGATTCCGTATAACACCAAGTACAAGCGACTCAAGCGGAAGAGGAGGGCAACGGAGAAGCTAAGCGCGCAGTCTGCTGCGGACCCTGACAACAACGAAGAGGCGCTCTTGTACTGTCTGGGAGACGTTCTGACGAGCCCGGAAGACATGAGAAAATGGGAGTTCTCCGAGTGGGAGCCTGACATCGAAAAGGCCATGGACCAAGAGTCTTACGAGTGGATCCGGATGGATGCCGATTTCGAGTGGGCCTGCGAAATGAAGACGAACCTCCAGAGCTACATGTACGTGTCCCAGCTCCAGCAAGATAGGGACGTCGTGGCACAGCAGGACTCGATGCTGTATCTGAAGAAGAGTCCTCCCCATCCGCTCGTTTCGACCTTCCTCACGAGAACCCTCGTCGATCGCCGGTACTTCCACGGTGTCAGAACCATGGCCGCCGATATGCTGTATCATCACGCCACGGAAAAGGTCGCCATGGCAGGCATGACCCATCTTATGAGGGCTTTCACGGAGCTCTTCTGCTACCCGGACTCTGCGACGCCTCGGCCGAACGACTTCTCGGACAAGAAGCAGTATCTTGTGCAAAGCGCACTCCCCATGGCCATCGCCAAGGTCCGGGACTCCAACGGCAAATGCCCCGAGCCGGCCCGGCGGCTGCTTCTGAACCAGGTCCAATTCAACAACAACGCTAACAACCCGTACTCGGACCACTTCTACGTCGCGAAGCTCCTGGAGGCCCTGGCCCACAGCCTGATCCCGGAGAAACGACGGGACGCAGGTGATTCCATGGATCTGGACACATCAGCTGAGGAGAGCAGCTTCCTAGAAGAGGCCATTGTCGAGATCGACCGCTTCCGGAGGATGGATGAGTGGGCCAACTCCTACCAAAACATCTGGACCACTACTGCCCTCGAATGTAGACGGAAGCTCATGAAGGCGGGCGTGATTCCCAAAAGCGCGTTGGACTTTATACAGTACCTACAGGACGATACATGCGATCTCGTGCGAGTCAAGGCGTTTGAGGCTCTCGTGGATCTCGGTTACATGATGGAATTGCCCATCTTCCGCCTGATCGTCTCTGTGATGAGCACCGACAGGTCCCCGTTTGTGCGAGACAAGCTCCTGAAGATTTTCTGCACGGGTTTGGCAAGCCTTGCCTTTGGCGAGCAATCCCGGGCGAAGCCTGCCCCTGTGGCCGCCAATAGCGGGGAGCTCACCATTGTTAATAACACCGAGGGTGAGACGCAAGAGCGGCGCAAGCAATTCGCCAGGAAGCAAGACATTAATGTTGCGCTTGCGGCCCTGCGAGCGGAGATGGAGGAGCAATACGCAGAGCAAGAGCGGCTTATGATGAAGGCAATCTGGAAGGCTCTTGATTCCAGGGTGATTGGCCGGGCTGAGAAGATCATGCTTATTGAGCTGTGCGGCGCCATGTTCGATGCTGCTGACCGGTGGACGGTTACGATGAAATATCCCAAACGGTGGAGAGTCAGCCGTCCCGTTCAGCGTCACCCAGGCAGGGCAAGTATACCGCCGTCCGATTTGTCCTACTTTTGCTAACGCTTCTGCCAGAACATGATCCACTTCAAGTCTTTTTACAAGACGGCAATCGAACCCCCTCAGAAGGTCAAGGAGAAGGAGCCCGAACCGCCAGTTCGACCGCCCGAACCCAAGCGTCTGATTGTGAACATGAAGAGTGGCGCCGCCAAACCCATCAAACAAGCACCCCCCGCCCCACGGCCTGTCTCTGCTGCCCCTCGCCCTTCCCCGGCCCCGGCTGTGCAATCCCCAGCCCCTTCTGCGGCACCGTCGCCGGTTCCGCGAGAGGCAGACTCCATCGTGGCCCACTCGGTCGCCAAGTCGTCCACACCAAAGCCATCCACTGGAAAGCCTTTCTCATCCGCACCCAAGCCGCTGACCACGAAGCCTACCGTCACCAAGCCAAGCGTTTCGAAGCCCGGAGTGGTAAAGCCTGGAGTATCGAAGCCTGTTATGTCCTCGGTGTCTTCGTCGCTACATCAAAGCGCACGCTCGACCCCTCAGGCGACTCCCGAGCCAAGCAGCAGCAGCAGTAGCACCAACAAGTTGCAGAAGAGACCTCGACCTGACAAGGTCCCGGGAGTGGACGACGCGTCGCCTGTTCTCAAGAAACCGAAGTTGAGTATTCGACCCGACGGCACAGTTGTGAAGAAACGGAGGATGTTCAGGTTTAAGCACCCCAATCTCCGGCAGATTCTCAAGAAGGCCGGCGTCAAGAACATGGGCCCCGTCCGAGACCCGTCCCTGCTGAAGAACCGCAAGCCCGGGTATCCGCTGAGCGCTCGCGCGTCTCCGGCCGGATCACCAGCTCCTACGCCGTCCGAGAGCATCAATGCGAAGCCCGCTCGGAAGCCTCTGCCCGGTGGTCCCTCGGCGGCTAGCCCTTCGCCGGGTCCGGCATCACTGCCACCCAAGCCTCCGCCGCAGGCATCTCCGCCGTCCGCCGAGGGTCAAGCCCCCAAGAAGGTCAAGCTCGTCATCAAAAAGCCGTCTTCTTCGCAGCCAAAATGAGCAGAACTCGCGATGCCCTCCGTGAAGACGTAGTGGGAGACCACGGATTGAAGACAGGGCGGTGTTCAAGTCACAAAGCCATTTTATTAAGGGGTCTCACAGATTGGTCTTTTTTTCTTTTCTTCTTTTCGTTCGATGCTTACCATCTTGTCTCCGAGACATGGCGGCATCAACCATCCACCAGGCGTTTTTATTGGTTTGAGAGATCACGAGAGGAGGCATCCGTTGGCAGCGGATATAAATCACTATCAACAGCAGGCTTCTTCTGGCATTCAAGGAGGGTAGAGAAACAAAATCAATAGGGGAAAAAAAGGGAAAGGGGCGGGTTGCGAGAGCGAGCGGAAGAAGCGCGACAAGGAGTCTAGAAAAGACGGCCGTCAAAGAGCGACTTCTGTGCAGGATTGTAAGAGAGAAAAGCCAGCCAGCCATTTTTTAGCCCAAGCAAGAGAAACCCCCAATCGTAATGATACCTTGGACCCGAGCGGGCCCAGTGCGGTGCATCATCATCGCCTTGCTCGAGCCTCGTATATTAATATCCCGCCGGTTTTTATCAGAAGCCACCTGTCCCCCCTTGTCTTGTCTGCTCACTGGGACCTGGGTACGTACCCAAGACGGGTCCCTCGTGGGGGAAGGGGGGTTTCTCACTGGTAACACGATAATGCCAGAATAGACATGAAACAAGACATCACGGCGGGAGAAACACGGTACAGATGCTATGATGCCCTCATACTTGACACGATACACGATGAATCAAATGTCTTTCTGAATGAGACTGACAGTTAGTTGCCCATCTGGGGGGGCTGCTGTGTGGAGAAAAGAAACAGGCCGGTCTCCCATACTTACACACCACTTTTCCGACCTTTCCATTAGTATAAACCATGTTGTATTGCTACAATATACCTGAAAAAAGCATACATTACGCCAAATATACTCTATTAAGTTGTTGAACCGGGGGGTGGGGCGCAAGGTTGTCCTCGAAAAAGCGCCGGTCGGCGAAACGTCCGGATGGGGGGGACAAGTGTCCGTGGCTCTCGGCTCCGCGCCAACTGCCGAGCCGGGAGGGAGTTTGTCCGTGACATGGCCCTGGCCAGCAGTTTGTTCGACAGTGTTGGGCGGTTGATTCATGTAAGCAAAACGTGGTAAAAACAAGGGACTTAATGATGTAATTTTGTTTTCATTGCTTCCTCTCTGTTTCGTATGGTTGTACATGCTCTACGCTTTAGCAAACCTCCTCACCCGTCTCTATGGTAAAGTTGCCTTGACGATGTTCTACAAAAAAAAAGAAAAAAAGAAAGAAAAAAAGAGAGAGAGCCGCATCAATGAGAAACAAAGAGGCAAGGGAAGAAAAAGAAAAAAAGAAAGAGATCAAAGTGGAACAAGTCAACTGACGGCCCGAATTGTGTGGTAATGATGTCTCCCAGATTTCCGTGGTGAAACCCGTTTCCTGGACCCGAACCGGAAACCCAAAACCCGCTCCCTGGATTCAAGAATGTGGACAGCGGTTTATCCACTCCACTCCGTCTTTACCCAGTCCATAACGCCAAGTCTTTTGGTGATTGCAAAGCAGTCGCGACAAATAAGGAGAAAACCTCGCCTGTTTGGTTGATGGCAATGAAGAAAAGCCCGATCCTAATCAAGATGTACGCGTGCTCCTGGAAAATGAGACATTAAAGGAGGAGCCGCTCGCCAAAGTTGGCATTAGTGCGAGTGCGAGTGACCGTTGCCATGATCATGGCTGTGGTCATGGTCGTGGCCGTGGCCGTCGTGGCTGTGGACGGACTGGCTGCCAAGGCTACCGGCAACCGTCGACTCGGAGCAGCAGCCGCCGGCCGCGCAGTTGTCGACGCACTCCAGCAGGCAGGTCTGCTTCGGTGAGCCGACAGAGCCGTTGCCGTCGTATTGGACCATCTGCTCCTCCTCGTGGTGGTGCTCGTCGTCTCCGCAGAACTCGGGCTGGATGGTGGCCGCGTGAATGCCGTAAGCGTGGAGGCACTTGCGGGCGCGCTTGGCGAGCTCCATGTACTTCTCGCCGCCCTCGGCGGAGATTGGGAAATTGACGTGAACGTGCAGGGAGGCGACGATTTTGGTGTCGGACAACTGCCAGATGTGGACGTGGTGGCAGCTGAGGACGCCGGGCAGGTTCTGGATATCCTCGCGGACCTCCTGGAGGTCGATGTTGTCGGGGGTGGCCTGGAGGAGAACCTTGGAGGTCGCCTTGGTAAGGGGGATGGCGGACTTGAGAATGATGAGTGTGATGAACAGCGAGACGGCAGGGTCGGCGTAGAAGCGGCCGGGCCAGTTGGTCAGCCAGATGATGAGGGCAGTAACAATGACACCAACGTTGCCGAGAGCGTCACCGATGACGTGGAGGACCATGGCGTTCATGCCCATATCGGCGTGGTTGTGGCCGTGGCCGCCAGACACCTTCTTGCGCTCCTTGTTGTGGTTGTGCTCGTGGTGAAGGCTGGACTCGCGTCTCGGGCGCTTGGCGGCGGCGCGACCGCGGTGGCCGCCATCGATCATGTAGGTTTGCTTGTTATCATTGGACTTGAGCAGAGGGGACTCCTCGTTAGGCTCGCCATCCTCGACAACAGTCTCGTCGACCTCGCTCTCGCTGGCCGACTCCAGATTGTCGGGCTGGGACCGGCTGGCGTCGATGATCTCCTGTCGGAAGCTCGAAGGGTGGATGCTGATATCCTCAATGCTAGTGAGGCGCGAGTGGTGGCGGGAGCTGGTTCTGCGGCGGTCATGACTCTTGGAGGTGGAGGAGGCATGGCTTGGGGCGCGACCGGAAGGATCAGAGTCTCGCTCAAACCTTATGCGACGAGACGTGTCGGGACCGGCGGTGGCTCTAGCGACGATGGCCTCGGGGTAGAGGTCGCCAACGTTGCCGCTGTCGTTGTTGGCGGCGGCGCCCGCCAAGTTGGCGCGGCCTTCCTCGGCAGCGTGTTCGTCGGAGTGGGCGTGGGCATGTTCGCCGTGGTCGTGGGAGTGATCGTCACCGTGGGAGTGGCCGTGACCGCCGAGGACGAAGAAGCCGACGAGGTTCGAGGCGAGACCGAAGGAACCAACGATAAGAATCAGCTGGGGGTTGTCGATCTGGGGAGGGTCGAAGAATCGGCTAATGGCCTCGAGGATGATGGAAACGCAGAGGGCAATCAGGAAGACGGCGTTGAAGAAGGCGCCGAGGATCTCGGCTCGCAGCCACTGGACGAGGAAGTCAGCCCGCGTCAAATTTGGCCAAGGGGGCAGGGAGGGAAGGTGTGACGTACTCCGTACGAATACTTGTCGGTGGTTGCCTTACTGGCCACAGAGACGGCCCAGAGTCCGACACACAGGGAAATGATGTCGTTGAGCTACGTCGGTTAGCAATGCGTCGTCGCACACCACAACGACGACAGAGCAGGACGTACCATGTGGAAGGCGTCCGCAGTAAGGGCTAGCGACTTGACAAGCAAACCGACAATCAGCTCGACGAGGAAGAAGACGACATCGATGGCCAGCATGATGCTGATACGCGTCGACTTTGACCACGCCATGACGGGCGATTGCCGACGTTGGTCGCGGGACGACGGATAAGAAAAGAAAAAAGAAAGAAAAAAAAAGTGAATCCTGTGTATGAATGAGGTCGAGCCAGTGAGCAATTGTGGTGAAAGTCAGAGTCGCTGTCACCCTGTGAGGTGAGGATGCGCAGGTCGGGGTGGGAATGGGCGGAGGGAAGAAGGGAGGGGGGGGCGGAAGAGGAGAGAGAGAGAGAGAGATGCGCGGAGGGGCGTTGTCGGAATGACGATTATTTTTGTATGTATCCGTATCCGTACCGTTGCATGGCAAAGACTAAGTTTTTTTTGGCCAAAGGTCAGCGGGTCGAGGGGACGGAGAAGGACTGATTGATTGTGGCGCTATGCTCCTGGGACGGAGGAGGAAGGGGCGATGATTAATTGCCGATCATCGGTTGTCAAGCAAACGAACGGCAGCGCGTCTTTTCTTTCCAGCTTTACAGAGAGAGCCAGACCTAGGTACTTTATCTATAGTACTGATACTTGTGCTTGTTGTTTGACGATGCCGAGTGCCACTATAAGTATCCGTACCGGAGGTTTTTTTTCTTCTTCTTCTTTTCTTTTCTTTTTCTTATTCGGCAGAGCTGGAACAACAACAGTCGCACACTTTTGGAGGCCGACGGGGAAGGAAAAACAAGAGATGAAAAGATGAAAACAAAAAGATGGGAACACGGCCGGACGCAAAGACCGCACGATGCGCAGTGACAGCAACGGCAGTTTTGCAACATGTTGCCGCATGTTGCAGGGTTGCAGAGTTGCAATGTTGCAGTGTTGAAGTGTCAGTACAGGTTGGCCACTGTATCATGTAGTACTAAACATGGTCTTCTTTTTCCTTTTCTCTCTCCCTCTTCTCGTTCCGCTTCCCTTGCTTGCCACTCACTAGGTAGATGCTACCTACTGTTCGTCAACGTTGGTTGGATCATATCCCTATCCCTATGCATGTCTTGCTGGCGGAGAATAGTGTTGCATGTGCTAGCTGCTCCCAGCACGCAAAAAAAAAGTAAGAAAGAACTAGGTAGGGGGAGGCGAACAGGAACAGCAACAGGGAGTTGACAGGCCAAAGAGCTTTTGGATGGCGTGGTCTTTCCTCGACGATGCGCAGGGAGTCCTTTTTTCCCCCCTGTGGCAGCAACGCGCGTTGAGAGAGAACAAAGTGCACCTACCTCCTCTGCAGCTTTTACTTTCCCTGACAAACGCAAGGCACCCGAGGATCCATCCCTTTGGGACAAAAGCATCGCTGCCTTGAGTATGTACCTGATGTAGTTCCGTACGTAGATAGGTACCTACCTACCTAGGTTCAAGCATGCATATGATTGAGGCAAAGCAAGGTACCTCCTAGCTAAGTACGTAAATAGTGGTGTAGCACCTGCTGTCCCGGGCGGTCGTATAAGTAAGGTAGGTAGGTATGAACGCCATCGGTCCTCCGCTCCAGCCAACCTACCTATCTAACCGTGTAGGTACCTCTAAGTCATCATCTTCGGCAGGTGGTAGGTATTAGTACTCCGTACATGTCCCGTAATAGGTACCAGGGCACTCCGCAGAGCTTGCGCCTTCCTCCCAAGTGCACGTTCATAGTAGTGTATCCGCACTGGTGTACTACATAGTACGCGCTAGACGGCTACGATGCAGCATTATTAAAGGCTTTTTTCCCGGCACCATCCAACGCACCCCTTCTGCACGTTTTGTGGTTCGGATGCGTCCAACTGATGCAGTCTGGCGGGGTGCGAGACAGTTTCCCCCTTGACACCATTGGTGAGATCTGCCAATTGACGCATCAGACGTGCGCGAAACTTTCCCCCACCGGCCAACCTGTCTCTTTAATTATTCCTTCGCCTGTGTACGGCTGGACCTGTGCGTTGGCCTGGCCTACCCCTGGGCCCTAGGCATGGAGCTAAGTAAGTGCAGCCGGTTCGGGTCCGAGTATCGTCGCAGTGAGAACACAGTAAGACCGGCTCGGACTATCAAAACTCGTCGGGGTGCCCTCGTGCCACTCTTTGGACATCTGTCGACACTCACCCTCTCGTCTATCCTACCCTAGCCCGGTTTCGCCCCCTTTTCATCCGACTTCGAGCCCGACTGGACATCCCCCCTTGTGCTCCATCCGCTCGGTTGCGATACCCGCTCATTCCGGCCGGCCTGACCGGGGGCCCGTTGTGGACCTTGCCCCTCTCGGGACCTGTTAACTAAACCTTTTCACGACATCTTCCTGGGGGGGACCGACGTCAAACCCTCATCTCCAGGCATGCTCGCTTGGACGAGGCAGTTACGGAATCCGGCAAATGCCTCGCCCACTTCGTCCACTACGTCTCTTCTCGGATGGCCCATTATTCTCGATAGCCGTGGAGGGCTTGTCAGCGCCGTTTTGGCCATCTGATTATGTTGTGAATCCCATCTTGCCGGGATTGCAGAGACTTCATTCCCTCTTGCCTCAAACGTTTTTATCGTCTTCCGCTGTTCTGGAGGAATGGCGTCCAAAGCTTGGGTTCTCGGCCGAGTGGCGTTCATCCCATCTGTGATCCGGAAGATTACGCCAAATCTCAGGGCTGAGGGCTATTGCTGATCTGCTGCTACTGCCCCGGCGTCGGGCAGGCAGCATTGATTTCCCGACAAGTTCCTGTTACTAACGAACACGACCAGGACGGCAGCATACCTGAACATCATCGTCAGCACTATTCGATCCCGTGTCGGGCGCGGCATCTTACGTCGCTGTCGCCGCAAATATCTCCGCTCACTTCGCGCTCGTCATCGTACCCACGCCTAACGAAAACACGGTGATAAAGGCGCATATTATTCCGAGCTTCGCGCCCTACGCCGTCACGTAGGAAAAGCCTATAATAGCTCTGATGAGCAAGATCGCCGCGAGTATTGTGCTGATGATACCTACCGCTATTGTAATTGACTATTCCTTGTACCGGCGTATGCCATAGCGCCTGTCGCCCGGCGAGTTGTGCCTCCCTAGCTAGTAATTACGGAGCGCTTCTGAGAGGTAGTCTCGCTCAACGAGCGCTTTCAGCGACGCCAGATCTTGTCCGTCGTCGAGATAGCCCTTCGCCTTGCCGGGCTGTAGCCCGTCATTTTCGACCTTGATGGTCGAGTGACATGGACTCATGATACTCCTCCAGCTTCTTCCTCACCTCAGTCGCCGACGGCAAACAGCAGTTGACTCAACGCCAACATGCGTTTGGATATTGGAGTAATGGCGCTGACACTATTCGCGCCACAGTTGACTAAAGTATGGGAAGAAACTAAATTGTAGGTAGTTCCGGGAGCGTATGGTGAAAGAGCGTCAAGTCATCAAGAGCAGTCGGTGTTCTAATTCGAACCACGACAGTGTGATTTAGATACTTACACCGCGTTTCTTTGCAGCCGAGATGACCAAAGACTTCCTCAAGACGAGACGAGAGGCCACTTGGACTCTGCGACTAACGAGGACGACCTGCTCATTGCCAAGAGGTTGGAAAGTCGTAGACGCAAACGTTGGGAGAACACCAGGAGCAGCTCCGGCAACGGCTAAGAGCACAGAGTCCGAGCCACGGTGTATCCAGCGAGGGTCCGTTTCCAGCCGGGCTGGCGTCCAGGGTGATAGGTTTCTCCTCTTATATACGACTAACTTTCTTGGTTTCAAGGACCACCTCAGGCAGTAGGGGATCTTGGGCTATGGGAATATCAATTTCACTGTAGCAGACAAAGTGTAGGTAATGCTATCAATGCACAGTATATTCTACCTTCTGTTAGAGACGGGTCCGTGGGAGTTGAGTGTCACGCACACAGCTGGCATCATGTCGGGACCTTTAATTATGTTCGTCTCTCTTCAGGCGAACATACGTCTGGCTTGGTCTGAAATAGAACTCACTCGCACCTGTGTCTGCCAAAAAAGATGACTCTCATAAATGTGCCCACCAAAGAGCCCCAACGATGCAAGAGCCGTCACCTTTCAATATCTGCAGACGGCCGGGACACCGAACACCCCCCTCTCCCCCAACACCCGAACACACGAGACCTCTCAACCACCTCGCCTCGCTCAAACTCTCTCCTCTAGAGAGGCGGCAAGCAGCTGGTCGAACGGCGCGGATCGCCCGGCGACGGCGCGTTTCGCGCCTATGGAGTGCCGCTTGCATGCCAACGCCGCGCCGCATCTGCGATCCTCGCCTAGCGAGACCCCGCACTGGTGCTCGATGTCGACGGGGCCTGGAAGAGAGGAGAGCGGATCAGGTCAGCTGGGCGGGGCACAGGTAGGGTATACGAGATTTCGTTGTGTGTGAGAGAGTGAGAGAGTGAGAGAGAGAGAGAGAGAGTTCGGACGTACGCACACGTGGCTGGCGCCTCCTCGAAGTTTGTACTGCCGGTGCAATATCTGCGTCCTCGCAGGAAGGGGGGACCTTGGGGTCGCCCGCTACACGCACGTCGTCCTCCTCCGGGCGGGAGGGAGCCATCTCAGGCAGGCAGGCAGGGGGAGAGGCGAGCGGTTGGAGCGAAAACCGAGATTGTAATCAATGCGAGACTGGAGATGCTGCAATTAGTCTCTGCTTTGGGCAAGGGTTGTTTTTTTGAAAGTTTTTGCATGCTTTTAAGTAATCAGGTACAGTCACATGACAGAAGTCTGGGCTCACTCCGCCAGTGGGAGGATAGTGGTTGAGCCCAGAGTTTTGTCAAGTGACTGTACTTCCCTCAAGGAGTATAGTCGAGAGGCGCAAAACGCAAGAGAACAAAAGTTCCAAGAGATATACGCACGTTTCGGATAGTAGGAGGGCAGTATGTGCAGTTCAGTTTCCGGATGGAGTGACGAAGGTGAAGGAAGAGACTAAGTTTTATTCCGCGCTGCAGTGGTGGCGACGAACGGCACGTGGGCTTCTGCCTGGAGTGCGGCAGCTCCGCCGCGTACAGACCAGTCACTACCCACTTTGGCCCGTCTCGTCCGAACCGGGCCCGGGAAGCCGGCGGCGGTTGCCCCGCCCTTGACTTCCGACGCTCCGTTGTACTGACAAACAAAGTCTAACTCGTGAATCTGTGGCGATAGGAGCAAGCTGCGCTCTGGACTTTTCGCAGACGGAGACCCATCCGGGGCAACAGGACAAGTAGAACATCAAACCCTGTCATCAACCAATGTCTCCAGGGCTGCCCGCAAGATCAACGGCGAAATGCGCCCAGGGTCGACATCGTAAAATCTGGAGGTTTTCCTTGTACCTCATATACCTTTCATTAGGAAAGCTGAAGGCCCTGTATGGTTGTGGATTGGTGGGATTACTCTTGACTATGGCGCAGAATGCCCGCCAAGACACGGCGCGGCACCGAAAAAGCAACTCGACCTGCTCGCTGTGACCCCCTGCCGTGCTCCGAACCAAGATTCAGAGGCTGTGTCGTCTAGACTAATTACGAAGCGAATGGATCTATTCTTATCGGCACGTGGCTGTTTTTAAGTCCCCTACCTATCTGAAATGCTGACTGGCGATAATCGTGGGCATCGCGGCCATGCGGCGAGCTTCTATGTGCTAGGTAGCTATATCCGGTTCAATTTGAGGACCATTGTAATTTCCGACTAGGAAAGCGCAGCAGTTGATATTCCAGCGTTGTAGGGGCGACTGGCTGATTGGCCACATCTTTCAGGGCCATGAGAAATGAGAAGGTCCTGGGTAGCGGGTATATCACCTGCCCGAAGATTACTTTACGATGTCAAGCGTAATGGAGAAGCCAATAAAGACAACACTAAGCTAGCGCATTTAGTCAGTCGTAGGACATCCCCTCACTTGCCGTAACCTAAAGTGTTCGGCCACCAACATACCATCAGGCAGCCTGCCGCGATTGTCATGATCTCGAATCTCCCGGACAACGTCTTCCCGAGAAGCAAGACGTGCTGGATCCTCCAGACCCGGAGGGCCCCAAGCAGCGCGACACACATGGCGAAGCAATAGCAAGCGGTGTCCAGCGGCTTCCCTATCGCCGCGTATCCAAATCCCGAGTCCGACGGCTGGATGGCGAAGAGCTGCACTACCACTGTCAGGGTGGCCAGCACAACACCCGTGCGAAGATATCCTAAAAAGGTCCGTTCTAGAGCTTGGGGAGGCGGAGCAGGGTATGTTAGCTGAAGACTTGGATCCGACGGTCGGAAATAAGGGAACAAGCGAAGGAGGGGGGCACTTGAGGGGGTAGGCGTCGCGGGAAGTTTCTCCGACCATGCTTGCTGCGGGTGGCACTCTGCTGTGAGGCATAAGATTATGAAGAGATCCAGGTGGTGTCCCGGTAAAGGTACAATCTAACCTTGAACGGCGGTAAGCGCAAGTATTAGAGCGCTTCTTCTACCCTTTCAGCGTCACCGAGTTCAATGTACCTGCAGGTTTGGGCGTGTAATGTAACATTATATGTGACTGCGCTAGTGGAACAGCATGCCCTTACATGAGGAAGACAGAAGAACACCAGACAGAAAAACACTCTTTCCCAGCGATCAGTGACCACAATTAAAAGCTTTACAACGACCTTTCGATAGTGCCGGATACCCGGGAAGCCATGAAGGGTCGTTGGATCCAGATTCCGGCCTTGTCGAGGGCCATCCCGCACCGCTGCATACCCACAGCAAGCACACCAACTTCCCGAGGACCCGGGGCGAGGACAGAAGGAAAGACAAAAGGGAGAGGGTGCGGAAACTTCCTCCGCACTTAATCTTTGGGCACTTTTATTTCATTCCACGTGAAACTTCACGAGCGGACAAGCGTGCGGGAAACGAACCACAGGCGCAAATCACGTACCTAGGTGGTCGCGGCAGGTATCAAAGTCGACCACCACGCTGGCATGCTCGCCCCAGAATTGTCGAATCGCCCTCAGCTTGGCAGTCGAGGCCGGACCATGGGCCGACGGTCCCGTGGCCGAGGTCTGAGTCTCCTCTTTCGTCGTTTCGTCGTGGCCTGACTGCGGCTGCGGCCGCGGCTGCCCGATTCGGGCGTCTTCTTGCTCTTTACGAGGTTGCATCGCTTCATGCGACGTCATCGAGACGGCTTCTCCTGGCAGTTGAGGCTCCTTGGCGTCATTGCTACTCGCCTAGCGTAGAGAAATCGCGGTTATACCTCAGACGGCGTCGGCGGGTTATGTAGAGTAATTGGGCCTGGACGTTGGTGGGTCACAACCTCTGGGAGTTTCCCGGCTTGCAGATAATAAGGCAAAGGGTGTGTTGGTCGACGTCCTTGGGAATATTTTACTTTGATTGAAAAAATGAGAATGTTTGGGCGCTATCTAGTTATTATCAATCAACACTATAGGAGGCTCGGCTAGGTTTCCTGATAGACGGCAGCCGGAAGCGGAGCGACGGTGAGTGGGCCCGTGCAGCCGATTGCCGGTGGCCGGGACCAGATAGCGGTATCGGTGGGAGGAAGGGTTTGAGGCTCAGTCGATGAAGACGCGCCGAAGATGTTTGTTGCTTGATATCGAGAAGCAGGGAAATTCTCGAGGGAGCTGGAGCAGCCTGGCAAACAAATTGACTCGATCTATTGTGGGTTATTGCCATCTCCTGGTTGCCGCAAGCATGAGAAAAGGGATTGTTGATGGGAAGAAGATGCCAAGTCTGTACGTACGTGTATAACCCCTGTACACCGGCATTCTCCCTGGACTATCCCCAATTCACTTAGTTTATGACGCCTCCCACGGAAGACAGAAAGTTTTTCAGGAGTGTGTCTAACCGGAATGGTGGAAGGTCGCGCGGCGGTATGGTTCCATCAGAGCGGCTTTGACAGCTTGTGTGTGGAGAGAAAACGTGGGTATCTTGTTCTTGCGGGAGCAAACATGTATTTGTATGTTTCAGGTAGAAACAGGATAATAACCCCCCCCCCCCCTTTTGTCAGGTGCACGTAGTTAGGTACTTGCCGTTTATGATTGACAGCATTCTCGGAGGTTTCTCCGAAGGCAGGCAAGATCAAGGAAAGGGGGGGGGGGAGGGGTTCCTTCCATCGCGCTTGTCGGTGTTGTAGGAGCCTCTACCAACACGACATTCCTTCCGAATTGCTGCACCTTCAGCCAAGACCAAGGATTACAATGAATCATAGACCTCAGTCTGGTCGCTCGTCGTAGGAACCTGGCATGTGAAGCTCCAGTGGAAATGGAGCGACATGCTGCGTCTTGCATAATCCGTTGTTGCGTCCGGTATCGCATTGCATGAGATGAACAACGATTTCAAGCTGGACAGCCATAACAGTTGCTAGGTCATTTTCCCCCTCTCTTCAGATCGATACATTCTGAGCGAATTCCACTGATAGTGTTTCGGTTTATAGAGACGACAATAGGCCCTACGGCAACGGCATTGGCTCTCTGCACACCGGCGATGCAACTTGGCTATGCACAGCACGCAGATTGTGCCCGAAAAAGCCTACCACTGTATCCTTTCCCGACACATCTACTTGGCCAACATACTATTAGAACAAAGGGACCGCTCTGTAGACGTCTTGCCGGTACGACCCACCCCCATCAAGTCCGGGACAACCTTGGGCAGGCCAGGCACAATCACTACGATGCCAACATTGGTGCACCCTCCTTCTCACCGACACAATCTATGGGCGGGAAGCACCAAATATCTCGTATCCAGTCAACACCTTCCTGTGCCTTGTTCCACGATTCATGGAAAGACTATTCGCCTCCTAATCGTCTTTCACCCCAGCAGCAAGCAGACCTGTGCTGTTCGCGGCGTTGCGACCGTAGTCCGGCTCGCAACGTTTCACAAGGGCCACTTTCCTTTTTCAGGCAAGGTGTGAGAGGCGTAACCAACCAACTGCATAGAATCGACGATGCGTTGATATCAGCAGCAGCAGTCTGGGCTGGGGAGGTTCGTAAGTTATCACCTGCTTGCTGGCTGAACGCACGACTCGGAACCAATAGGAAAGCTTGCCAGCAATGGCCGTATGCAAACAGCACGACAGACGTCTGTACGTGTAAGTGGTAAGCCGGCCCATTCGCAGACAGGGCAGGCCCTAGAAGCCGCTCTTCTGGAACCCGGGAACCTCGGACTCCACTTCCTCCAGTGATATCCTGGCAGGTTCTGACCGGGCCAGCCAATCCGACCAGATCTTGGGGGCGAGACGGGCCGCCGTGCCGCAATTTTGGTATCCTTTCACAAGATTCTCTAGGTTCACGCAGAATCCAGGAAGTCCACCAATATCTTTCTGTTGGCCGTGCAGTTCCACGTCCGTCTTATCCTACCATCCGGGATACTGTGTCTCCAGCTAGCATCGCTACCAACAAGACGGCATTCTAGGTGGCCGACTGCAGTCTTTTATACCTCTCGTCAATTGACGACCAGGGACGCCGGCCGCTGGTGGACGCGAGTGAGGTGAAACCTGTCTGCGTGATCAACGTCGATTGGGTGCGTACTACGAAGCCGAGCTACAGATTCAGCAACGCAGGGCCGCCAGAACGCATTTCCTGAGAATGCACATAACCGATAGACGAATCAGTGCCCGCGTCACTGAAGAGTGTATGCTGCTTCTTAGAATCAACGCATTGAGCGTTGCATTTTCGACGACACTGCCAGTCAGTATTTGGTAAGAGCAAATAGCTAAATGCAAGCCACGAGTCTGTTTTTCGACCCTGGGACAGACATCTGCGACCAAGGCCAGCCTGTCCGACATCCCTGGATTCCTTGACCATGCGGCGAAGGCTGCCGGCCTCCCGGGGTTATCTTGCTCACGCCAGTGGGAAGCCCAGGTTGTGGAAACCATGCTAAGATCTTGGTCCCTTAGCGTTGTACCACCTGCCCTCCTCGAAATTTCGCTAGGTCGTATCTTTCAGTGAGACCGACAGGCATATTCAGCTAAGCAAGGAGGGTGCTTTGGCGAAGAAGATGCACCGGGCATCCATATAGACAGGAACGGTGTCGTCAAAAGATTCGCGGAGAGGCAACGCCAGGCTTCACTCGGCTCAATCCAATGACGGCGGTCTGATGCTACATAGATGGCAACCAGCCTATTGGAAGAGGCACAAGAAGCTGTAGCGTCAAGGTCCAATGATGCACAAGAAAGGTTCCTAATCTCACGCCCCCTGAACGGCTGACGCGAGACTGAACAGCGCAACCCCAACTCCCCCACTCATGCCAGTCTCTTCGTGGTCAGTTGTCCACAAACCCATGTATTCTCTCCCCAACAACCCCAATTGCTTGCCTATCAACCTGCTTGTCTTTGACCGCTCGAACGGACCGCTCCTACCGATGTGTTTATATCACTCAGGAGTAAGCCTCCAGTGAGCCAGCGCCAACAAGACAGTACAAGCATGGATTTGGGGGGGCAGCACCACTGGACAGGGCAAGGCCTGATGGAGAAAGTCAAGTGACTCGAGTCGAAGCAAGTCCGTAAACCCAGTCCCATCGCTTTCGGTGGATTAACCGTAGGTAGCTATTCCTGGCCTGCATATGACTCAATGCCCTTGTCCTGGTGGACGACCTTCCCATCCCAGCTGGTAATGTCGCCATGCACCACTAGCCGTTACGTTTCCTATCGTCGCTAGCCGGGGAATTGCCCTCGAGCAGCCGACAGGTCATAGATGAAGCCTCCGTTTGGTAGCCATCCCGGGTGAAAGTTACACTCCGTTCGATGTATGCTAGTCCTTTTACGTCCGACCCGACGGTATCTTTGGTCCCCGTGTGGTTCCATTCTTACCCCCCTCCGTATCTTGTGTTGGCCTCCTCCTTTGTGTATGGCTAACTTATGTTTCTATCATATTAGTGATCGACTTCATTTATTGCGGATAAACATCAGACACGTGTAGGCAGATATGGACGTGTAACCTGCCCACGCACCTGTTCTCATATAAGTCTTACATGGTTCCGTGCCGTCCCTGGACTTTGTCTATACCCTATTCCGCCTATCCAAGATCAAAGATATTGAAACTTGACGACTTAGTGAAGGACCGACTTTCGATTGCATAGCATATGAGTCTCCCGGCCTTTTCTTAGCAGCATCTTTGCTTTCTACGGTTGCCAGTACCGAACCACAATCCATCACATCTGCTTTATCACGAGCCCCGGCATCCACTGACGGAGGCCCCATCACACTATTGGGATACTTTGTAGCGAGGGATTTAAGAAGCGAGTTCCGACATCAGTCCCAAGATGGATGTTCTTTCTAGCAGCCACGAGGGCCGCGAAATTGAGCCGCCTGCTTCTCCCCAAGAGACCGAGACGACCAACTCAACGCCGAATACGGTGTTTTCGCCGCCACATAGCCCCAAGCAGAAAACTCAGCAACTTATGAAAGACACCAGAGTTGCGGCAAGGAAGAAGCTGAACCAGTTAACGCTGGAGGAGAAGGTGCGATAAGCCTGTGCGAGCTCCATTTGGTGTTAACCTCCATGCTGACTATCGCATAGGTCTCTCTGCTTACTGCCTCAGACTTCTGGAGAACCAAGTCCATCCCTTCCAAGAATATTCCTGCCGTAAAAACGTCAGACGGTCCAAATGGTGCTCGCGGAGGCATCTTCGTTGGAGGAACCAAGGTTTGTCCCATGGCCGTCTGGAGGAGCTGGGCATGCTAACTCCAGTAGGCTGCTCTGTTCCCGTGTGGTGTTTCCCTCGCCGCGACATGGAACAAGGAGCTGTTATACGAGGTTGGGCAGCACTTGGCCGACGAGGCCAAGGCAAGGTCTGCCAACATTCTCCTTGCGCCCACCGTCTGTATGCACCGCCATCCCTTGGGAGGGCGCAACTTCGAGTCTTTCTCCGAAGACCCTCTTCTGACGGGGAAGCTGGCTGCTCAATACATTCGTGGGCTGCAAGAAAAAGGAGTCGCGGCAACCATCAAGCGTTCGTGTCCTCATTATATAAAGCGGCGGTCTCCTCTGACAGACTACAGATTTCGTTGGCAACGAGCAGGAGACACACAGACTGACGATAGACTCGCTTATTGAAGAACGTCCGTTGCGCGAGATCTACCTGCGTCCGTTCGAAATCGCCGTCCGAGAAGCAAACCCCTGGGCACTGATGTCGTCCTACAACCTCGTCAACGGTGTCCACGCGGACATGCACAACTTGACGCTGAGAGAAATCCTTCGTGGTGAATGGGGATACGATGGGTGAGTCGAGCCTGGCAGAGGGCTGGACATCATGCTGACTTGCGCAGAACCGTTATCTCTGACTGGGGCGGCACGAATTCCACAACCGAGTCAATCATCGCCGGGTGTGATGTTGAGTTCCCGTACTCCTCAAAGTGGCGCTTCGACAAGGTGATCAAGGCTTTGGAGGAGGGCGGGATTACCCGGAAGGAAATCGATCGCGCCGCCGAGAACGTCCTCACACTGGTCGAGCGCTTGAAAGGAGATGACATGTCGGAAGAGCGACCGGAGAGGGAAGACAACCGTGAATCAACTCGAGAGCTGATCCGCACTGCTGGCGCCGAGGGCCTAACTCTTCTCAAAAACGATGGCGCAGTCCTGCCGCTGAACCCGAAGACGACAAAGGTCGCTGTTATTGGACCCAACGCCAATCGCGCCATCGCCGGCGGGGGCGGCAGTGCCAGCTTGAACCCCTACTACAAGACGATCCCCCTTGAGAGCATCCGTGCCGCGGCCGAGCAGGAGGTGACATTTGCACAAGGGTGCCACATCTACAAGTGGCTCCCGGTGGCCTCCCCTTATTGCACTGAAAAGTCAGGCAAACCAGGCGTCAACATCGACTGGTACTCCGGAGATAAGTTCGAAGGCGAGGTGGTCGTGGTGCAGAGACGAACAAACAGCGATCTCTTCCTCTGGGACTCTGCTCCTCTGAATGAGACGGGCCCTGAGTGGTCAGCGATCGCCACGACCTACCTGATGCCAAAGACCACTGGCAAGCACACTGTCAGCTTCATGAGTGTCGGCCCTGGTAAGCTGTACGTCAACGGAACGCTCGCGCTGGACCTGTGGGACTGGACCGAAGAGGGCGAGGCCATGTTCGATGGCTCCGTCGACTACCTGGTCGAGGTTGACATGGAGGCCGGCAAGCCGGTGGAGCTCAAGGTCGAGATGACCAACGAACTGAGGCCGTTGGCCAAGCAGAAGCAGTTCGGTATCACGCACAAGTACGGAGGCTGTCGAATCGGGTTCAAGGAGGAGGATCAGGTCGACTTCCTCCAGGAGGCGGTCGAGGCTGCCAAGGCGGCTGATGTGGCCGTTGTCATTGTCGGTCTCGACGCGGAGTGGGAGTCCGAGGGGTACGATAGACAGACGATGGACCTGCCGTCTGACGGTAGCCAGGATCGACTCATCGAGGCTGTTGTCAAGGCAAACCCCCGCACCGTCGTTGTCAACCAATCGGGAACCCCTGTCACGATGCCGTGGGTTGAGCAAGTTCCGGCCATCATCCAGGGATGGTACCAGGGACAAGAGGCCGGAAACGCGCTCGCCGACGTCTTGTTCGGGTTTAAGAACCCCAGCGGAAAACTTCCAGTACGTCCTGGTTCCGTAGTTGTGCTGTTGCCGAAGGCGTTTTGCTAACAATCACCAGTCGACCTTCCCCAAGCGTATCCAGGACACGCCGGCCTACAACAACTGGCCCGGCGAGAACCTGAAGGTGAACTACGGCGAGGGCCTGTACATCGGCTACCGCCACTACGAGAGGGCCGACATCCAGCCGTTGTTCCCCTTCGGTCATGGCCTCTCCTACACCACCTTCGAGTACGGGCGCCCCTCGATCAGCACCAAAACCCTTGCGCCTCAGGGCACAATCGAGGTGGTCTTCGCCGTCAGCAACATCGGTCCGGTGGCTGGATCCGAAGCCGTGCAGATCTACGTACGCGACGACAAGTCGAGGCTGCCCCGCCCGGAGAAGGAGCTCGTCGCCTTCGAGAAGGTGTTCCTGGAGGCCGGAGAGACGAGGCACCTCCACATTTCCATCGACAAGTACGCCGTGGGCTACTACGACACAGCGGTGCCGGGATGGATCGCCGAGGAGGGCACCTTCAGGGTCCTCATTGGCGCGTCCTCTGCCGACATCAAGTGAGTTCTTATCTATCACGTTTGGAGGGGCACGGGACTAACTTATTGCAGGCACTCTGTCGCGTTCGACGTCAAGGAATCGTTCAGCTGGATCTTTTAGTTTTCATCCCCTTGCACATTATACCACGTCATATTCTGCACCCTTAATTTCGTTCTTGATTCACCCGATGCTACGTCTGGCCATATAGAAAGGCGCATGGTTAGTGGGCATATTACCATGGTACCAGATGATGCAACCGCTCCGGCTGTATTCGACCTCCGCTGCGATCCCCCTCATTTGGCATCACAAGCCAATAGCCCCCCCCCCCCCCCCCCCCAGTAACCAGAGCAGAGCGGAGCAGACGAGGGCTGGAATGAGCCTTTCATATCGCTCAGTGGGATCCGGGTGGTATCCTTGAGTAGTACAGCCGGTAAATGATGGGGACAATGAAGTAGTTCTGGCACCGTTAGAATGCATGTATTTACACCTTCGGCCGAGCTGTTCTACTAGGGTTGCACGGGGGACGCACGCATACAGGTCTCGTACAATCATGTTTGATGCTATTTTCGTCAAGAATGCTTCCGGCCGCAGTTTTCGTGGTCGAGAATGTGAACCGGCTAGTCCGAGCCAGACGCGTCCCCGTTTGCATCATGTCGGCGGCGGAGCGTTTCCCACTGCTGAGACACGCGCCCGGCACCATTCATAATGCGTGCGTTCGAAATGGCGGGGTCACAAACCTCGGGGGACATGCTCCATGGTCCCAGAGGGGGTTAGAGCACGGGAGCTCCGAGTCTGCCCCTATCTCGCATCGTGAGAGGGGCAAGCTCGCATCCATCTCCCCTACCCATCCATCGCTTCACAGTAGCTGTGCCCAACCGGCCGGAGGGCTGAACCGTTTCCACCAATGTAGCCCGAGCTGGTGTTGGAGGTGTCCTGATGAAGGGTGTAGGCGTAGCTGCGAGCGTGTAGGGTGTGCCTTTTGAGAGAGTGGGGGAGGGTTGCGGGCAAGACGGTGATGTCGTCAGGGCCATCGTATTTGGGGCGGGTGATGCCATGTGAAGGGCATCAAATAGATGAAGGTCCGGCTTTCGTGGGGGCGGGACTACCTCGTGATGAACTCTCGCTCCGCGGTGGAGGGGATGGCGGTGTAGGTACTCCGGACGACCGTTGGCGTGGTGTGTGATGCGTCGCTTCCATGGATCTAGTTGGGAAGGTCATGGAAATAGAAATAGGGGGGTGTTGTATCCAGGAACCTTTGACGCGGAGGCAGAGATCACCATTCATGGAGAAGAGAGAGGGGGGGGGGGGTGTTTCCATCTGCCACGTCTCAGTCGTCGTTTCCGTCCCGGTAGAACTGGGTGAATGGCGATGGCGGTGTTTCTGGAATGTCACGAGAGCAAGCGCTTTGCTGCCTTGCCCGGAAGGAGATGGGAGGAGGGTTCCGCTAGCGGCAGGATTCGTGCCTCGGCCTGGTCGAGAGTTGGTGTCGAGTTTACGGATTGAGAGGAGGTAGGGGCTTTTGTGAGGATGTTCTTTTTGCGTGCTCGTCCTTTGACTGGTCGATGGTGGGTGTCTAGGTTGGGTGATTCGGCCAGAGGCGAGACCGGGAGGGGGGAGGAGGAGGAGGTGGTGATTGCTTCACTCGGCCGTCGGGCTGTGATGTAAGTGATACCTCCAGCACCCTCTCACAAGCTACCTTGTGCAACCATACGGGGGGGACCGCCTTAGATACGTATATCATTTACAACCGTCTTCCTCATAGTCTATAGCCCGTCCTAGGTCACCCCGCTCGTACCGGAGAGGCCAGGGTTCCGTGCCGGACTTCCGGTAGGCGCAGGCGGCCCGGCCTCAGCCGCGGGGGAGGCGGACCCCGAAGAGATCGCCGTCGGCGAGGTAGATCTCCTCGATGTAGGGTGGAGTCGGCGTTGGGGAGCATCTCGTCGATGCCGGACCTCGAAGAGGGGGGGGGGGGGGTCCAAGTACAGGCTGTGGAAGGACCCGAGGAGGAGGAGGGTGCTGAAGCTGCGGGGTGGAATTCAAACTGTTCCACTCTTCAGCGCGTGTTTCGTCATGGAGGACTGTGGGCTGCGAGATATCCCTCGACTGCATATCCCGCGAGGTGTTTCGTCCGCCTGGCATCCCATTTCTATTTGAAACCCAAGGAGACGCTAGAGGTCAGGCCACGGTAATAGATGCTTTTATATCTGAAAGGCTGTGTTGTCAGCACACGGATGGACACGCACGGCATTGCGTCGTTGAGTTACTGATCGTCTTGTCCTTATCCCAAATCCTCAAATGAGTTCCATACTCGTCCAATAAGTTTGCCAACTTCGGACCAAAGTTCTCCCCCCCACTTCCTATGCCCTTTTGCCGTCTCGGGGAACTCATCGGCGCAGCAGTCAGCAAAAAAGGGGCCGAGCTGCCCAGACTGGAGCTTCCACTTCCAGCACAATGTTAGAGCCCCACTAGGAGGGGCTTCCTTCCCGGCCGAGCTGTCATTGCTACCTATTGTCAAAAAGTGGACCACCCGCTTTCAGGCAATGTTTCCAGCGTGTGTCGTCGCCCCCTTTGTTCATTAGTGGAGGGCATTGCACTGACTGTTGAACTTCGGCACTGGACCCGGGGCTGCCCCAGTGATGCGCTGCTTGGCTGCTGTCCAGGCACCCCCCCCGTGCGCATCGTGATTCGTGAATTGATTGCATCTGGGCGCAACCTCTCTCTCTCTTCTCGTGCCGCCACGCGTCATCTCCTTTCCTCTCCTTCTCTTTGATCGCTCCAAGTACGACCAAGGCTTGGAGATTCTCGAAGCTCTCTGACGCAGGCGCCCAACAGCCGAATTGTACCGCCAGACGAATGCCTGCATTGTCCGTTTTCCACCAAGACAAAAGACCCCACGTCGTTTGAACCGCATTCTACCTACCTATATCGCCGCCACCTGATTCAAACAACTCCCCGACGGCGTTACAGGCGACGATCGCGCGAGCTCTTGTACCCGCACCCACATACACCAAACACCCAGCGCACGCAAACCCGCCCATCTCACACCTTTAGTCCGGATACGCGGCGCCAATCCATTCCAGGGCCGCTCAGTGGACGAGAACGGAAAAAAAGAAAAGAAAAGAAAAGGGGAACGCACCGCTGCAGGGGAATGGCAGGCGGGCGCACAGCATGGCTCCGCCTTATAGCAACGGCAACGGCTACCCTCACAAGGGGTCCAAGTCTGCCTCTTTGTCTTTCCAACTCCATGATGATGCTGCCAGCTTCCGCGTCCGCCTCCGACTCGTACTTGCTGCCGTAGTGCGACTGGCGAGAACAATCTGGGCCTTTTGGCAGACCCGCGGACGACGACTGGCCGCCAACATCATGCGGCAGAGTGGTTGGCAGGTGAGGCAGAACTTGACTGCGCGCCGCCTCCTGAGCTTCCCACATCTGCTGGTGTGTCTATGGTTTCTCGTTCTACTTTGTGGCGAGCGATGGGTTTTCGGGAGCCGAGTCGCCCACTGCAAATGGAGCAACTGGGAAGATTGGGTATGCCACGTCCGCCTCACACGCGCCTAACAGTACAGAGATGCTGATGCTTCACAGCCCGCCGGAGCGAGCCCGCACCACCTCGTCTTTGTTGCCGACCCCCAAATCATCGACCCCAAATCCTACCCCGGCCGGCCCTGGCCCTTGTCCGACCTGACGGTGTTGATAACCGACAACTACATGCGGAGAGGTTACCGGCAGCTCCAGTCGCAATTGCGGCCCGACTCGCTGTTCTTCGTGGGCGACCTCTTCGACGGCGGACGGGAGTGGAAGACGGCGCGCGGCGATTTCAAGGATCCTGAGTGGGCCGTCAGCCGGCGACCCAAGAACGAGAAGGACCATGTGAAGAATTGGAACGATAAGTACGGCCAGGACTTCTGGCTCGACGAGTATGAGCGCTTCGGCAACATGTTCTTCAAGGACTGGACGACCCTTGGCGGAACCAAGGCCGGCAACTGGCAACGAGGGCGCAAGCTGGTGGCCAGCTTGCCCGGAAACCACGACCTGGGTTTTGGCGACCAAGTCAAGGGAGCTGTCCGCGAGCGCTTCAGCACCTACTTTGGGGACGGGAACCGTGTGGACGTCATTGGCAACCACTCCATCGTCTCCGTCGACACCGTTTCCCTGAGCGCGAGCGCCTCGCAACAGGCCGGCGTTGACTTGAAGGCGATTCACACACCGGCGGATATCTTCTTAAAGGATGTCCGATTTACCAAGCGGAAGGCCGTCGAGAAAGAGCTGCGGTTCTGGAGGGGGGACGTGGAAGGAATCGTCCACGAACACAAGGTCGAAGAGTTGGAGACGGCGGATGTGAAAGTGCCGACCATTGCGCCGGGTGAAGATGGGCCCGATTTTCCCACGATTCTCCTCACACATGTCCCTCTGTACCGGGACCCGGGAACGCCTTGCGGACCGCTACGGGAGCATTGGCCACCGGCCAAACCACCCAAAGGACAGCAGGGTCCTGTCGTCCCGGACCATCGCAACGCCCTCCCGGTTTCGGGTGGTTACCAGTACCAGACCGTGCTGAGCGAGGACGACTCGGTCAAACTCATCAAGAGCGTCGGCAACGTCGTCCACGTGTTCTCCGGTGACGACCACGACTACTGCGAGACCGTCCATTCTCCTGCAAAGGATAACGTCCGCGAAATCACCATCAAGAGCATCAGCATGGCCATGGGCGTCCCCACACCTGGTTTCCTCATGGTCAGCTTGTACAATCCTGTAGACGCCAACGGCAAGCCACTCCCCGGGGCTCCCGAGAAGATTTATCTTTTTATAGCTGCCTGCTGCCGAACCAGCTTGCAACATACGCCAAGTACGCCGGGCTCGTCTTTGTCACCATCGTAGCGATAAGTATCCGCTCGTTCCTGGTGCCTGTGCTCAACTTGACGCCGTTTGCGCTGCAAACCGAGCAGCCGCAAGGCCCGATTCTGCCTACGATCAAGGACAAGCTTGAGGACGACGGGACCTACAACATGAATTCGACGTCGGCGAGCTCCGGAACCCGGTTCCTGACATCTTCGTCATCGCGGACCAGAAGCGGATCCATCCGCTCCAACGGCTCGGGCCCAGTGCCGCCGGCAAAGACCAAGCTCAAGAAGCAAGGATGGAGCCACCGTGCCCCGAGAATCGAAATCTTTCAAGACGATTTTTACGGCACCACCAAGCCGCGACTGACGTGGAAGGCGGCATCCCAACGGTCTCGGACGACTCTCGGAAGGGTTGCTCGAGAGATAGGTGCCTCCACGTGGAGAGTGGTCTGGATGGTCGTTCTATTCTGGGCGTATCTTGCATATAAAGGATAGAAGAGCGACTGCTTCCGAGCGTGCATAATTATAGAAGGCATCGAAGAACTTCATTGTCATTCAGCGGGTTGGTTGCATCGTCTGGTTGGTTGGATGCTGTGTGGTTGCTGTGTGGTTTCTCATTTAAAACGTAAAAGGCCTGTTGGCGGCGTTCATTTGTAACATGTAGTAGCTCCTAGGCGATGGCTCAGAGGGCAGTAATGAAAGTTGTATTCTTGTCAGGCATCTTCCTTTTGATGCATCCATCACAACCATTTATCGGATGCTCCTTTGATCGACAACAAGGTGGAAGACACTGTTCAAAGGCAGGCAAGAGCCGCTGATGCCTCTTCGTGAGTGCCTACCTTACCGAGGTATGGACCCAGAAGCGGAAAGCCCACGATGGCATGGGAAGGAGGACGTACATGCACAAATTCAACCTCCGTACCTTCCTCTTTCTTAGTCGCATCCCCCCGACTCTTTTTCTATTTGAAGCTATGCCCATCACCCGCCACCTCTACCTACAAAACACTCTATCAGACCATCGCCCAGCATCTCCCTTCTATCAACAACCGTCCTTCGACTGTCGAAGCCCAACCGCCAAAACTCCATCTCCCCCTTGGCCTCACGTAGCATATTCCTCCACACTCTCGGCCCGCTTCGAACACACCGGCCGAGTCAGGAACCATGGCAGAAGGCTGCAGCCTTCCAGTTCCTGCCCGAGGAGACATCTACACCCACGATGGCGGGCTCAAAATCACCAATGCGGCAGCCAATATTTTCGTCGTCTATGATCGCCAGCACCAGGACGGCTCTCGTTCGCCTTCGAGTCTCTCCGTCGACTTTGTCATGGGCAATGTCTATCTTATCGATTCTACCTATTTTACTCCTTTCAAGTGGGGCAATACCCGTCTCTTCGGCAACTTGATCAAGGGTCTTGGCCTTGATATCGAAGGCTGCCGTCGGGGCGATACGTACGTCAAGACGGTCTACGACGATGTTGTATGCGTTGTAGGCAACGAGCGTGGCGCTGCCTGCTCGATTGGAGCAGTCGCGGGCAATCTCGTGACCGTCTTGGACTTGTCTCAGGTTCTCGGCCATCCGAAGCCGCAGAACGTAACCATCTCCTACATTCATGGTCTGAAACTTTACGAATCTTACCTTGCCTACGGTGGTGGCCTCCATAGGGCCTATTCCACATGGGCCTCGATGACGTTCTCCGCAACCTCAAGAACCTCGCCCATCCAATTATCGGAATCCCGTGTCATCGACAGTGGGCGACTCTCGAGCAGTGCTGACAATTCGGCCATGGCCGAACAGCATTTGACGTCGGACCAGCATAATCAGACCCATCCCCCTGACCGGCTCAACGATGTCACCACCAGTCAAGGGGAGACTTCGCAGGAGATTAAAAACGCAAAAAGACAGATCGATGCTATTGCCCAGGTCATCGATTTGCGAAAGTCTGTTCTACATTTACTAGACAAGGACTTTGATCTCGCTGACCATTCCAACAGTCGCCACTTCTCCGCTGGCACGCCAATCAGCTGTGCCAACTGTAAAAGAACAGGACACGAAGTCCAAGACTGCATTGGTCCGGTAGACGCCGATGGATTCATCGCCGCCTGCTCACTTTGCAACAAAAATGACCATATCTATGATCAGTGTTGTCTAAGAATGAACCTCAAGGCCTCGCAGAAGAACGCAATGAACTTCGAATACTTGGTCTTGAGGCGACAGAACAAGGCCCCCATCAAATCCAACATTTGTTGGATTGTCGCCTGGGCTAGGTGCGAATGTCCGCGGATCATCTTGCCACATACCAGAGCGTTCGCTCTTGAGTTGTCCAACTGCAAGACTGCCACGGCTCCCTATCCAGATTGGAGAACTTATAGCTACCCTGCATCTGCAGATGAAGTCAGGGCGGAACGCGGCTTGTTGCTTCGCGACCCAGCCACTGTCTACGAAGGCGGAGAAGGGTGCTATCTCAGCCCGGGATCCCAATGCTCCCGATTCATTTCTGACTTTTGTGCAGTCAAAAAGAGAATGGAGCAACTGGGTGTCAAGTTTCACCCAGAGCTTAGTAAAGACGCCAATAATAAGCCCAAGAAGAGGAAGAAAAAGAAAATTGCCAATAACAAGACGGACGAGAACCCTTTTGCCACCGGTGCCAACTGCACCGTTCTTCAACGCCCTCTTCCACCGGCGCCGCCTGCGCGCAGCGTGGCTTCAGTTAAGATCAAACAAGAGCATGAGGACTGAGGTTCCATCGGCCAAGATTGTTTCTTTTCTTGGCATGACTGCTGCTTCCAGGCTGCACTGCCATACCGTGTTAGGTGCTCTCGTCGTGTTCTGATGCTGATAGCACTATCTCTAATGTGTGGCAATGAGGACTTTGGGGTCCCAGAAGACTGGCGGACAATGCTGCGTTAAGAATGACGAGAAGACGATTTCAATGCTAGAAATAATGAAGGTTCAATACTGTGATAGATGATTTACAGTGCTTTCACCAGTCTGTTTGTTTGCAATGGCCAGAAGTCTGGCATGGGGAGTATCAAGTAATACTGTTAGACGTTTTCGTTTTCGTCCGCTATCGCACCCGATTCGTCCATCGCATCGCGGATAGGGTTAACCTGTTTGTAGGACATAGTTATCGGGCGTATGTTAGTCTCTTGATTCCATCCATGGAACGAATGAACGAACGACAGGGAAGACCGTCGTCCCAGTATCGATTCAAAGTTGACGCAAGCTTATCTCAAGACTGCGGACGGGAGCTTCGTGCGTTTCACATCCATTGCTTTGGTACCGGCTGAATTATTAGGTTCATTTGTCCACCCCTCAGAAACGTACCTGGAGTCATCACTTTTGGATTCTCAACAAGGCCCGTGTTCGTATTCGCCATGATGAGACGATGACAATCCGGTTGATTGGCATCAATGCAGCGCCAATTGGCATATAATATTGTCATTCCCATATTGAAAGCTGCAGGGTTTTGTCGGATAGCTAGACAAGATCGATAGTCATCTGCTTTTACCGAGATTACAACCTACAAGATGGCGATAACTATGAGTTTCGGTCAGGCATTGTGCCTTTTTATGGTCTTGGTAAGTTCATTCCTACAATAAGCTGTCTCCATGAGCGATGTTGCTTTGAATCTTATAAGACGGCATCTAATCATGTTTCCTCGACGAGTGTCATAGACCACTATCTATATCGCCTCCTACATCATCTACAACCTCTTCCTCCACCCCCTCCGCCGCTTCCCAGGACCGCTCGCCATGCGCGCCACCCGAGCGACATACTGTTACCGTCTCTGGCGCGGAAAGCTGTCCTTTGACATGCTCGAGCTGCACCGACGGTACGGTGACGTGGTGCGCATCGCACCCGACGAGCTCGCGTTCGCGAACCCGTCGGCGTGGAAGGATATTATGGGTCACAGAACCGCCGGCGGCGTGAGCGGGGGCAAGGCGCTGCCCGAGTTTGAAAAGGCGGACTCTTTTTACCGGCCGCTTACGGAGCTGCCGAGAGACATCATCTCGGCGGAGGGGTCAGAGCACGCGATGCTGCGGAAGCAGTTGAGCCCTGGGTTCAGTGAACGTAGCTTGAGGGAGCAGGAGCCGGTCATTATGAAGTACGTCGACCTGTTCATCCAAAAGATGCGGGAAGCCGCCAAAGGCTGTCAAGGCCGCGGACACGGCGATGGCGATGAGACTGTGGCAGGGAAAACCGGCAACCAGTCGGAGCTGAAGCAGGAACACCCGGTCGATCTGACGCTCTGGTACAACTATGTCACCTTTGACATCATCGGAGACCTCGCCTTCAGCGAGTCGTTTGGGTGCCTCGAGGGCGAGAGGCTGCACCCCTGGGTGAAGACACTTTTCCTGATGGTCAGGACTGGCGTGGCGTTGCAGACGGCCGCCCACTTCCCGATGCTGCGGAGGCTGCTCACGGTGGCGCTGTCGACGCGGGTGATGAGGGAGCGAATGCAGAATCACATGAATATGACGATGCAGAAGCTTGTCCGAAGGGTTGAGTTGGGGGAAAGAGAGGGACCGCAGAATGATCTAATTGAGGCGTTGTTGAAAAAGAGGAAGGAATGGGTGAGTTTGTTTTCTTCCATGAGCATGCCTCCTGGCCTTTCCCGCTCTTTTCTTGTTCCCTTTGGTGGGCGAGGAAGAGTAGAGCCCTTGTATGTTGAACGAGGACTGATTCGGGGACTTTCTCGCATTTGAACAGGGCTTCTCGCTCAGGCAAGTCGACTCAAACGGGAGCATCATCATCATCGCGGGATCCGAGACGACGGCGACGCTGCTGTCAGGCGTGACGTACCTGCTCCTGAAGAACCCCGAGAAGATGCGGAAGCTGGTCCGCGAAGTGCGGGCGGCGTTCGAGAGGGAGGAGGAGATCAATCTCAAGTCCGTCAACTCGCTGACGTACATGCTGGCCTGCATCGACGAAGCGATGAGGATCTACCCGCCCGTCCCCACGGGGCTCCCGAGGACGGTGCCGGAGGGCGGGGCGACGATCTTGGGGCAGTTCATCCCCGAGGAGGTAAGCTTTTGTCGGCCGCCGACGCGGGATCGGTTTCCCGGGGCTGCTTGTTCGGGAGGAAGGGTGTTTGCTGATACGTGCCGTCGTCCCTCCCGCAGATGACGGTTTCCATCCACCAGTGGGCCATGTACCACAACGAGAAGAACTTCAAGGACCCCTTTGTCTTCCATCCAGAGAGGTTTCTAGGGGACCCCGAGTACGCGTCGGACCGGAGAGAGGCGTTCCAGCCTTTCCACATTGGGTCGCGGAACTGTCTTGGAAGAAGGTGAGTCCGGCCCCTTTTTGAGGCTCCTCGTGGTTTGTCCCGTATCATGAGGCCTCGGGCCCTGTTCTGACTAACATGCGGCCATGAAAGTCTGGCCTACTTCGAGATGAGGATCGTCATGGCGAAGTTGCTCTGGAACTTTGACCTGGAGCTCGCGGAGGACAGCGAGGAGTGGATGGAGACGCAGAAGATTTACACGATATGGGAAAAGGGGCCTCTCAATGTTTACTTGCAGCCAGTTGCGAGAGGTTGATGTGATATTGTCGGATCACCGTGAGGTGTCTATGGCTGCATTATGTAGCTTCCCAGTTTGCCTCATAAAAAAACAATACACCCCAACAGAAGCCATTTCGCAGAACGGATTACAAGCGACGCTTGCTCTGGGCAAAAGTATGATTATTTGTCTATCATATGCCCCTTGAGTCCTCCCAAGTCAGATGCGCTCCGACCCCCCGGAATTTGTTGTCGGTGGGACCATGGTTACTAAGTGCAGTCTTCATCCTATTTGCACATTTCTCATTTACCAACAAAGCCATCGATGCGGTTTCACTATATCACTAGGATACGGATACTAGGCCCCCCGCAGACGGCCCTGTCCGTTCCAGAAACGAGCGCCACGTGGTATTCGGCAGCTAGCCCCTAGCTCAATTGCGGGTGCATTGCTATGCATGGTGGCTGTTCAACGGGGCTCAACGGAGCTCGAGTCATGAGTGGGAATGGTGGGAGCTTCTGAGCTAGCTTACTTATTAAACGTCCCACGATCCCTATCCATAAACACCGACGCCTGCCGATTCAACAGCACTCACCAGGTCATCTTCGTCTCCCTACAAGGAATCCCTCCTCGGAACGTAACAAACAACACGATGGCATCTCCGACGGTGGAAAACATGCAGCCCGAGAAGAAATATATCCTTCGCATCGTCAGGTCAGCCTGTCCAAGCTCTTCCCGCTGATCATATCACGTTCCTGGGGCACCACTGACGGGAGGGGGGCCGCGCACAGTGACGAGAGCAGCCTCAGCAACGCGACGCTCTTCCTCGGCGGCGATGGGAGCCTGGTCTTGAAGACGGCCGGCGCCGGCGCCGGCGAGCAGCCCGTCGTGGTGAAGAGCGGCCGCAACCCGTCCACCATCGCCGTCGACGGCCCCGCGGAGGAGGCTCTGATCCTCCAGGGCCCACCCGGCAAGGGCGAGCACCGGCTCAGGGCCTCCGCGAGGGTGACCCCCTTCGGCGTCGGCAGCGCCATCTGCCACGACGCCTGGGAGGTCGCGCCGGACGCGTCCGGCCAGCGGCTGCTGCTGCGCTACAGGAACGAGAACTTTGGGGACCGGAGCTGGGTGGCTGTCCCGCCCCGGACGCCGGAGGAAGGAGGCGTATGGACGGTCTGGTGGTACGAGCCGTTGCCGTTCAATGCGCAGGACTTGCCGGGCTACGTCGGGGTGGATGTGGAGGTTGTCCCTGTTTGATGACAAGGTGGGGGGCTGACTATTTGGTATCACTGGAGTGGCGATGGGAATCTCATCTCGATTGCCTCGGAACGCCTCGTTAAGATCTTTTTGCTTCAAACACCCTTTGCGTTTTGCCCCCCACTGTAGTGAGGATTTCAGGAACATGCCCACAACAGTACCGTGCAACGGGGTAAGTCTACACGCATCTTCCAAGGCCCCTGTTGACCGCAATGACCGAACGCAACGGTGGCTCTCTGCTGAATCTGAGAAAAGGATGTTCTATTCATTCATGTGTTTTCATCTGATGGCATCAATCGTCTGTCGACTACAGTGCTGCTTCACGGCATCTACTCGGATCGCGCAGCCATCGTCACTCCACACCTCGTCCCCCAGATCCCGCTCGACGTTTTCCCCTCTGGCCTAGAGTCATTTGAAGTAGCCGCCGTTAGCGAACAGGCCTTTAGACTGTTTCGGAGTCTTCTCCGCCGCAACAGGCTTTGTTCTGATGGGCTCCAAGCCCACGCCCCTGTAAGCCTCCCAGAGGTGCCTCGACACGGACAAGGAATCGCCCTCGTCGTCCGTCGTGCCGGCCCACTCGCGGAACTGAGCCTCTAGCAGCTTCGAGAGCGAGGTCACCATGTCGGTCTCGCGCATCTCCTTGACCCACTGGAGCATGGCCGTGTAGTACCGCTTCGCCAGGCTGAAGAGCCGGTCGCTCATCAGGTCGGTGTCGGGGAGCGTCAGCGTGGCGAAAGTGACGCCGCGGTCGCTTTCCCCGTTGATGGACGCCACGGAGATGCTGAACCGGACGGGTCTGGGCCGAGAGTGTGCGGGACCCGGCCCGCTGGCGAGGACGGGGGCGTCCGGCCACGCGATCTGGTCCAGGTCCTCGCTCGCGCCCGGCAGGGGCAGGGGTACGCTCCAGGGCTGGATGCCGTGTGCTCTCTGGAACTCGACCAGAAAGGGGTTGTGCAGTGTCCATTCTGTCCACTGGTGCAGCGGGCCGTAGATCTCGGTGACGAGGTGGGCGAGGAAGCGATCGATCGTGCTGTTGGCGTACGTGAAAAGCAGATGGGTCTGGGTCTCGAGGCGCACCCAGTCGACGAACGGGGCCTTCGTGTGACTCGGACCCGCGGTATCGCTAAGCCAATTGTAGCTAAACGTGGTGGTTTCCGGCGCGGTGTGGAATCCTGCCGCACGTCAGTTGGACTCCAGCGGCTCTGCTAATTATGTTGGTACCGTGTTGAGCCCGGAGAGCTCTCATGAGACGGTAGAGGGTCCAGTTCCAGTTCATATCTGGACCCTCATAAGCCATGGTCGGCTTGGTTTGCTGGAAGAACTCGACAATCAGCCGGTCCGCAATGTAGCCCTCCTTGGTGCGGTTCGCTCGGAGCTTCTTGAGGTCCCAGTAGAAGAAGAGGAATGCCTCCTTCCAGTCGACGAGGTCCGAATCCATGCTGGCTTTCTGGGTCATGTTTGAGGGATCTGCGGCGAAATAGTCGGGAGAAGTGAGCAAGACACGGAACGCAGCGGGAAAAAGAAGAACAGCTTCTCTTTTTCCCCGTTTCTGGTTCTTTCTAATGACTTATATAATCCACCCCCTTCCCCCCGAAGCGTCGGAGCACCCGACTATGTCAGGCTTAAACGGCAAACACATGCAGGCAAACAGTCCTCGCGTTCGCTAGCAAACACCGCGAATGTGGCGGCCTTGACAAACATGCAAACACTTGGCCATCACCAAAAAAAAACCACCACAAGCGGGCTGGATGGCCGGGGCTCTGTAATTCTACCGACGCCCACACAAGGGTTGACAACTGCATTCATTCAAGGATTCCTCCCCTCCTGTCAGGGAACAGCCCCCCCACCCCGACAGTGTTCGTAGCTTTACCACCTTCTAGACCTTCTTTTTCACCATGAGAAGAACCCCGGCGGCGCTAGTGATGATGGCGGCCTTGCTCCTCTCCACGCCTGCTTCGGAAAGCAGAGTCTCGATTGCCTCCCGCAGCATCTTGACCACGTCCCGCTCTGTCCCGATGGCTTCGGGGTGCGCCTCGCGCCACCGCATGACGGGGCTCACCGTCTCCAGGAACTTCTCGATGTCGTCCATGCCAAACACCTGCTGCGCCAGGAAATGCTCGTCCCCGGGCGTCAGCACGCCGTCCTTGTTCCAATCCCTCCGGAAGAAGGCGCTCTCGTCGAACTCAGTCACCGGCTGCTCCAGCGTCCACGGCAGCGGCAGCGTCGCGTACATGGCGTCGACCATGTGGTTCCCGGGGGCCAGGTACGGCAGCAGGTGCTCGTGGCGGAAGGCGAGCAGCGTCTCCTGCAGGCGCTGGAGGTTCGGTGTCGCGGGGTGCACGTACTTGGCGGTCCCCGTCCAGATGGCGACGGACCCGCCCGGCTTCAGCACGCGGGCGGCGGCGGCCCAGAAGGCGGGCATGTCGAACCAGTGCGCCGCCGTGGCCGCCGTGATGAGGTCCACGCTGGCGTCGGGGATGGCGGGGGAAAGTGCCGACCCCAGCTCCTCGGCGGGGGAGACCTCGAAGCGGATGGGATCCGAGGTCGCCGAGACCCCGCCCAGGGACCGGGCGGCGGCGATCATGCCCTCGGCAGGGTCCAGGCCGATGGCCCGTGAGAATCGCGGACCGAGCTCCCGGGTGACGGTGCCGGGCCCGCAGCCGACGTCCAGGAGGGTGTCGAGTTTCCCGCCCGTCGAGGTGTGATGGTCGCAGATCTGGTCGTAGAGAGAGCGGTGGTAGCCCGGCCGGCCTCGGGCGTAGGACGCAGCCTGCGCCTCGGTGAAGGCGCGGAAGGTTTTCTCCGTCAGAGGCGGAGATGGGACGGCGGTGCAGTCGGACATTATCACGGGGGGTCTGCCAAGACTCTTCGGTGCGACTCCTAACGATGGAAGCAGGGTGTGAAACTAGTTTACATGCACAGAGGCGATCGTTTTTCCAAGGTCGGGAAGTTGCTAGACCCATCTTTATGTTTGCCACGTGCTCTTGCAACTCTCAAATAACAACTATGTATAGGACCAAAAGTCTCATTCCTGATTGGCGCAGAGGGCCGATAGCGACCAACTAGCACTAGGTAGCACCAGGAATCAGGCTGTGCAAGACCAATCAGACCTGTTGGAAGACACGCACTATACTCGATATAGATGACAGCTGGCTGCAAGATGACGCGCTGCCCATACGCTAAAGGTCTAGCCGTTGTTGGCTGTTAGTGCATCACAGCATTCAACCCCGTCCCCGTCCTTCTGGCTGATGATGGCATGTCGGATCAAAGAAGCCCCCGTATGTTTCAATTCAGAATTATACGTATCTATTCTTCAATGGGTCGCACTTTGCTGCTATACTGGCAATACTTTGATGGAATAGAAACTGCATTCATATCCAATACCGGCGGGCTATGAACGGCCCATCAGCTCACGACATGCTTGTTGAAGAACAACGACTGAACGTTGCAGAAACTCTTGAGGCCATGCGCACCCCATTCCACCCCGATGCCGCTCTCCTTGTGGCCAGAGAAAGGCGCCAAGGGACTTAGTTCAAAGTGGGTGTTGATCCACACATTGCCTGCATGGATCTGCTTGGCGACTCTAGCTGCCGTCTCCAGGTCGTTCGTCCAGACCGACGCACCCAATCCCAGGTCGGAGTCATTCGCCCGGTCAATCACTTCGTCCTCGTCTTTCCACGAAAGAAGAGGAACGATAGGGCCTGAAAAGGAATCGCCGGTTGTGAGCATGCATTCATCGTATGCCAAGGAGAAGAAGTACTGCGGATCGGAAAAGATGGGACATACCAAATGGCTCCTCGACCACGATGCGAGACTTCTCGGGGGGGCGGTCAATGATGGTCGGGGTGATGAAATATCCCTGCGAGGTCTCAATCTCGCCTCCTACCGCTACTTCCCAGCCTTGGGACTTGATGTCGCTGAAGAAAGTCTTGACTCGCTCGTATTGCATTGAATTTTGGAGCGGGCCATGCGTGACGCCCTCCTGAGAGCCATCTCCAAGGTTGTAGCCTTTGACATGCTTAACCAAAGCCTCTTTGAACTTCTCAAAGATCGTTTCATGGACATAGATTCGCTTCAAATTAAGACAGATCTAGGACACGTAAACAGGGTTATTAGTCGATGCGATGTTCGAGATTGATATGGTACTCGAGACTACCCACCTGACCAGAGTTCAAAAAAGCGAAGAAGGCGACCTGTGTTTGGTCAGTATCAGTACCATCAACCGTGATATGTGTGCCATACCTTCTCGGCAACTTTATCTATATCAACGTCGGGAAACACGATTGCCGGATCGTTCCCTCCGCTATGTCCGGGTTGGCATCAACTCAAATCTCAGCTGTAGGTTGGGCAATTAGAGCTCACAGCTCTAGAGTCACTCTCTTCAGAGTCTTGCTCGCACTCTGCATGACCAGCTTTCCAGTCGCCGTCGAGCCAGTGAAACTGATCTTGTCGATCCCCGGATGGCTTGTAAGCCACGGTCCAAGATCGTCATCGCCGCTGAGGGATTGGACGACACCCGGTGGGAAGAACTGCTGAGCCAATTCTACAAGCTTGAGGCCGCAGTAGGGTGTGAAGGGACTGGTATGTCAGCCATTTGACGTTATCGCGGCATTTTGGGAGAATCTCAGGCTCACGATGGCTTAATAATGATGACATTCCCTGTAAGCATGGCTGGCGCAAGCTTTCCGACAAGTAAGAGGACCGGGAAGTTCCAAGGGACGATTGCCCCGACCACACCGAGAGGGGTGTATCTCGTGACGACGGTGCGGGTCTCGCTGTCCTCAATCACATCCTCTGGAATCGGAATGTCGGCCAGGCCTCTTATCCAACTGATTGCTAAGTGGGTTTCCACGTCCGCCTGAGGGATCTGGTTTGCAGCCAGTGAGCGTTGGCGAAATCATCAATAAAACAGACTGTTCAACGACATACCGGCTTGCCTTGCTCCGATATCAGGAGGTCTCGGAACTGGATCCTCAGGCCCTCGAGGGCATCTCCAAATGCCAGCACGGCTTTGCGTCGTTCATCGTACGGAACCTCGGACCAAAGTTTGAACGCAGCTTGAGCGGCGGCGACGGCGCGATCAACATCGCCACGGGAGGCCACGGGAACCTCTTCCTTGGGCTCGAGATTCGCAGGGTTCACACCATGCCGTGTCGTCTCCGTAGTAGCCGGTTGCCCATTGATAATCTGAACGAACCCGCCTTCAATAGTAAATTTGGCTGTAGGGTTAGCGATGTCATCCATGGCGAGTATTAACGAGAATTTAGTTTGTGCGTTTTTAAGCGTGACGAATGGGAAACAATGAAAGAAGGACGTGGAAGGTGAGACCTACACTGTTTATGTACTGGTCTCCCTTTACTGCTTACGTCTTACCATGAGCTGCATGCTTGGCATCGTGGTACAACCCCGCTGCTGATCCCACTCTGACCTCGGTCCGCCGATTGTGGCTATCAGGTTCAGTTGGAAATGTATGTGTCGGGATATTCAACTGTTCAATGGTGGAGCCGATCTATGGTCACGTGATTTACTATCACGTGACTCACCCTGGCGGCTCACTTATACTACCATAAATACCTATAGCAGTAACCTCTTCTTTTTCCTTTATTAATATCTTTACCTAGCTACTAATAGTTAATTAATACTATTATAGCTACCTTAATTATAATCCCTATAATACTAACACTAATTAGTAGTTAACTTTATAGTTACTACTACTATAGATTAGTAAGGATTATTAAAAAAGACTATAGTACTTTACTTACTATAGTAGCTTAGATTAAAGTATTAAAGTGCTACCTAGCCTAAAGATTATTAGTACCTAGGATCTTATAATACTTAGTAAATAACCCTTTAAGCCTTACGTTTACTATATAATAACTACTATTACTACTATTAACTTTATTACTTTTAGAGAAGTTTTTTTTTTATATACTACTTACTTACTAATAACCTTTATAGTATTTAGTATAATTATTTTTTTTTATACCTAAGTTTTTTTAAGTTCTTTTTTTTTATTTTTTAACCTTTTTTTCCTCTAATTATTAAGATTTTTATTTTACTAAGTTTTTATTTTACTATAGTAGTAACAGCCTATATAAGATTATAAGTAAATAAACTTCTATAAGTTCTTATCTAAATAAGATCTTACTAGTAAGACTAGCTATAAAGTAGTTAAGTAAGAACTACTTAAGTAATTTACTTTTAATATAGTATTTATAAGTAAATAGCTTTTACTAATCTTACCTCTATATACTTCTAATATTATATTATTAGCTAGGTGTAGCCTATAGTAATTATAACTTCTTCCCTTAACTAAATAATTAGTAGCTAAGTGTTACTTTTAGTAAGTATACCTCTTTTTATTCTTTAAGTAAAGTAAAAAAAGTAAAGGTTACTTATATTACCTTAATTTATTTACTTTTTTTTATTTTTTAAATACTTATTAATAACTATACTATTTTTTTTACTTTTTTTTTTTTAAGTAAGGTATAGTTATTAGTAACTAATATAACTTTTACTTAACTTTACTATCTTAATTAATTTAGAAAAACTACTTATTATTTACTCTTAAGTAAGGTATATTACCTTAACTTTTTACTTTTTTTTTTTAAAAAATCTTTAACTATAGTATCTTACTTACTAAAAAGTAAGGTTTATATATATCTCCTTTTAGAGATAGTATATATCTCCTCTTATTCTTTAAGTAAGATCTAGTGTAAGGCCTCCCTAAAGCTATCTCTTTATATTACTAAAGTATAAGGCCTTCCTAAAGCTATTTACTATTATCTATTTATTTATTATTTTATTTTTTTATTTACTTTATTTTACTTATACCTCTTTATATTATATTATTTATTTACTTATTTTATTATTATTTATATTAATAGTAGTAATTTCTTTAATATATAAATTTACTTTTAACCTTATAAGTAAAAAGTAAGTGCTTATATTTAAGAGGTTAGTAAGGCTAATAGAGGGTAATAATAGTAAAAAAAAGACTAAGTAAGAGGTAAAGTAAACTATAGGCACTAGCTAAAGTAAAAAAGTATATCTATTTATAAAATATTAAGGATCTATATCCTATTTTAGAGTATAGCTAGCCCTTTATTATTATATAACTATAAGGTATAACTAATTTAGCTAATATTCCTAACAGCCTTACCTAAGTTAAGTAATATAACGCCTTAAACACTATTATTATACTTTAAATAATATAATATAGCTTTATATAGCTATATAGTTAATAGCTATAGAGATATACTACTAAAGACTTTAAAGAATAGTTACTTAATACCTTTAAGGGTACTACCTATAAAACTATTATTAAATTTAAAGACTACCTAATATATAGGGGCGTATAGGTATTAATAGTAAAGTTACTAACTATTACTAAATAAATCTACTATACCCTTAAGGCTAATAATCTAAAGGTGTAGACACTTAAGGATATTAAAAAAAAAAAGAAAAAAAGTAAAGATTTTTACTTAAAGATTAATAAACCTAACTTTATAAAAAATATTATAGACTTACTACTAGAAATAATATTAATATAAGATTAACTAGGCCCCTTTTATATTATTACCCCCTTAGTATAAGTTACTTAAGTCTAAGAAGGTTAATAAAGGCTTATTAATCTAGCCTTATTATATAATAACCTAAATTTTATTTTTTTACTATTTAAGTAGGTAAGTAATATTTACTTTTACTTATTAGTTATACTAGTTACTACTACCTTACTAGTAACTTACTAGCTTACTAACCTTATTAAATTATATCTTAATAAGATAAAGTATAGTAAAAAGGTATATAAGTTACTTAAATTAAAGCTTATAATCTTTTATAACTACTATATAAAGGCTAAGATCTAGTAAGAGCACTTTATAAGCGCCTTTTTTATTATACTTAAAGGTAAGGCTATAAAGTACTATACTAACTATCTTTATAACTAGACTAACTTTATTACTATAGTTATATAGATAAGAGGTAATTTTAAAAATAAAAAGACCTTTTAGGCCTACCTTACTAAGCTATAAAGGACTAATTTAATAAGGACTATTTTAGATAATTTAGATAAAAGTAAGGCTAAATACCTAAAGTTACTTATTAAGAGAGTAACTACTTTTATAAAAATAGTTATAAGGATTAGTACTTTATCTAACGTAGCCCTCTATAACTAATTACTTAACTCCTGCTATAAGATAAAAAAGTGCTTTTTTACCTTTTTTAATTTATCTTTAATATTTACTAGCGTATATAGCTAGCTTTAATTAGTAATTAGTAATATAATATAATTTAAATAACTTATATATTAATACCTAACTAAAGAAGTAAATAATTAATACTAAACTAACTATACTTATAATAGCTAGTAAAGTTACTAGTAATTTAGCTAATATAACTATAGCTATAGTAACTTTATACTATAGCGCCTTTTTAATAGTAATTTATAGTAATAAGCACCCCTTTTACCTTTATTATTATTTATAAAGAAGTACTATATATAGTAAGCCTAACTATTAGTTAATAAGGCACTTAAAAAATAAAAAGTAATAAGCTTACTATAAGTATAAAAAGTAGTATCTAATAGACTTTTTACCTAAAGCCTTTAACTACTTTATAACTAACTTTAAGGGATATAAGCTATTTACTTTAAATAAGAAAAGTAACTATATAAAAAGTAATAAAGATAAAGAATTAGGCACTATATTTTATATATTAATAATATTTCTTAACTTATTTACTATTAATAGGCTTACTTTTTTTTTATTACTATATAACTAATTTATAACTTATTTTCTTATAAAGGATAACTTCTTATATAAGAATCTATATAATAATAAGCTACCTAATATAGACGTCTTTACTCTTAATAAGTAATATTTATTTATCTTATTTTATAGTATTATACCTAACTTTAGTGTAGCTAAATATTTAATAGCTAGATATAAATAGTATTTTACTTTTTACTATTAAATAAAAAGAAATCTAGCTATAGATAAGTTATAGGTAAGTAAAGTAAAAATCTATTTTAGTAGTAGTAACTACTTTAAATTATAAGGGGTAATTAATATATAAACCCCTTTTAGTATATTAACTTTTTATATAATACTATTAAATACCTTATTTTTACTTTACCTTATAAATATAGATTAGTATAATATTAAATTTAATAACCTTACTAATAAGCTAATTTAAGGTAATACTATTATACTTACTATTTAGAAATAAGGCTATATATAAATACTACTTAATTAATATAAGTAAAGTATTACTTACTACTATCTTATAGATAATAAGTTATAGTAAATTTATTATTACTTTAGCTACCTATTAGTCTAAAGGCTTTATTATATCCTCTAATAATTTAGTAATAAAGTTAAGATTATAGCCTTAAAGAAATTAACTAAGGTCTACTACTACTACTAAATAAATATAAAGACGCCTAGTTACTTTAAATTTACTTTATATAATAATAAATATAACTTTAACTATAAGATTATTATTAATATTATCTACCTTAATAGTAACTACTTAGCCTTATATATAGTTAATACTATAATATCTTTTTAAGTAGCCTATTTACTTAAAAACGTTACTATAAAGTATATATAAAAAGCACTTTAGATATACTAAATTAATATCTACTTTAGCCTACCTAACTAGATTATTACTAATACTAGCCTAAACTTTTATACTAGTAAATTTAAGTAGTTAGTAAGGTTACTTTATATTAATATTAAAGAAATACTAATTAAAGCCTATAATAGTATTAGTAAGGTTAAAAGATACTATATACCCCTTTAATATATATATAATATTCTTTATAGTAAGGGCTATACACCTAAAGTTACTTTTTAGCTAGCTATTAAAGTAATTAATAATATAGCTAGCCTAAATAGCCTAGTACTTACGCTACTAGTCTTTAGCGCTTACTTATAAATCTCTAACTTATTACTACTTTTACTAACCTTACTTAAAAAGGCTAAAGTAGTAAGAAAAGTAATAGAGGCTATTTACTAAATCTATATAAAAAAGTAAGTTAATAAGGTAGTAACTATATATAATAGCCTAAATACTACTATAATAGTAGCCTTTTTACTTTAATTTATAGTCTATATTTAGTATAAGAAAAAAGGCTAGTAAGGCCTTTTTTACCTTATTACTAGTAATAGGACTACTTATACTATTAACCTCTCTTAAGGCTTATAAACTTTTTATTTAACTATTATTAAACTATACTTTAA